CATAAAAAGAGGAAAGGCGCATGCAAGAAGTTATTGAAGCATGGTTAAAAAACACTTAAAATAGCAGCAATATATTTTATTCCGGAACCTTATATATATTATTTTGGAACAATATTCATGTACACATTCTATTTTACAACTCTTACGAGAATCTGCCTTCGACCATACTGTTAACCAAAAACTCTTATACAAATATTCCACTAGATAATTATGGCTTTATATCCTTAAATATATATTACTGAAAAATGGCACGACTGGATACTGATGTAAAAACATATTTGACATATATTTTGAACTTATTTTATTTTGTTATTGCTGGTATTGCTGTTGTTTTTGTTGTTGTTGTTACCGAAAAATTCACAGAGTTTCGGATTTTCTCTTACCGGTGGATCCTTTAAAAATCTTATGAAACACTATCTGGACAGTCTTTGCAAACGAATTGTTAGTGTTATAAAATCAATGTTGGCAAACCGAAGAGTAAATAACCTTGTTCACATTTTATATTTTATATCTTGAATCTGGCGGGTACGGTTTGACGATAGATTTGAAATAAACATTTGTGTCAGAGGTCAATATAACAAATTGTTATTGTTAATATATATCAATTGCATACCAAATGGTATACAAATTTTAACTGTTTACTGTATATAAAAGAAAGTTAAGAGGGTTCATTGTTATTTGTATGTATATATATATATATGTTATATGTATTAAAAAGCTATTAGTCGTTACTGTTATATAAGAAAAGGTACCAGGCGTAACTGGTTAGTTTTGAAAACAGGCTTTAAATTGTTAAATATAGATGAGAGATTAGTCTTAACTTTCGTATATAAAAAGGTATGAAATTAAACTGTCATATATAGAAAAACATATGAGTCCTTGCTGCCATATATAAAATGTACGCGAGTTAAGTATCTTATATGAAAAACGAATTAATTTTTTACTGTTATATATAAGAAAGTACGATGCTTTACTGTAATGAGATTTTCTGTCATATGTTAAAAAGGACTGAGTATTTATTATCATATATAAACATGTACGAGAATTATATATAAAAATGGTATAAGGTTTTTCTTTCATATAAACAACATACGAGTCTTGAGTGTCAAAAAGTGTAACTATTTAGTGTCATACTTGGGTATACGACTTTAATGCCGTTTTTTTAGAATTTCACGAAGTAAACAGCGATCTTACATTTATGAATAATGTTCAATACATAAATAGAATTTACCACAAACACCTGGTACACTGCTTTTGTCTTGTATGACATTTATACTGAACATTCGTCAAAGTTATATATATATATATATCAAATTTAAAGGAAAATAACTAGATTTATGTCTGCGTATATCGGTTTTAAGCCGAGCAATGATGTATAGTTGCATAGACTTTCAGCAACTCTTTTCAGCATTAATATCCTGTTCGATCTTCCACAACTGAAAAAAGACAACACATATATGTCCTAATGTCAAACATATGTCTGTGCTTGTTTTTATGAGGCATAAAATATTATTTTCCTCTCATAATATGCCTATACGAAATAGAAAATATAAACCTATGGCTTGAAGATACATTCTTAGACAGTTTTAACATTTTGTAATCTAAATTTAAGTTATTTGAGAGACGGATGGTGATTATAAGCAGGTGCCTTTCCTTTTGTGGATTCAAACGACGCTTTTTATGTAGACAGACACATTTCCATGAACATTGACATATTTTTGCTTCAGATTAAACCGACTGCCTGGCTTTGAAACAAAAACATATTACGCAATAGAAAGGGCATCGAAACACGAGGCTATCTGATTTGTACGAGGGGGCGTAGCCCGCAAGTATTAATCAGATAGCCAAGTGTTTTAATGCTCTTTCTCTTTTGCATCATAGTCAAACATAAAAACACGTTCCATGTTATCACAATATGAAACCCCAGAAAAAAGTAAACAATAAACGAGCATCTGAATATGATATCTCTATCGCTTTCCTTTTCTCTGCCGCCACATTAAGTAACACAGCAAAAATGAGCCAATCAATGGACATGCTCAGAAGTGTGGGTAACTAATACCTACACTCAATTTAACGCACTGTGCATGTATAATGTATACGATTTAACTCTGTAAATTTTCAACAGAAAGGTCCCTAAACTATAATACAACTATAATTAGTGTTGTGAATCATAACATTACAATCGTATTGATAAAATATATTATTCCCTGCGGGCCGGAGCCCGCAGGGTATTGGTACGCGTTTAATTTTTGATGCATGGAGGAGCACGTGACCTGTTTTCGGTACATGGAGGGACTCGGCCCGGTGAATTTTCGTACTATTGGTTCTATAGTAAATCAGTCAAATTTGAGGTTTAATTCTGGATTCCACTGTTCTTGATGAATTATATACTGTCTTCAACTTTAAACATTAACACTATCTAAGTCAAATGATGCCCAAAATATAATAGGTTAGCCATCTACTTTTTCCAGAAATCTTCATTCTGTTGTAACACTGTTTAAATTCACCACTTTAAAAACTCCTGACAGCTGGTGGGTAGTACATCTTTAATCCTTCCACCAACAAATGAGATCCTGGAGAATACACAAAAAACAACTTTTAAAGTCATCATATAACACACAAAAACTACACACATGCAATAAATACACTTTAATTATGACCAATCTAACTAGAGATGACTTAAATTGGGCCATTTCATAATTTTAAAGAACTACTTTCTAGACTACAATGGGTTCGGTCTAATTCCGTACCGGGTTGAGACCGGAGGAGCATGTGATCTATTAACCGTACATGATTGGTTAATTGACCTTTTCGAAAACCTAGCTAAATACCGTTAGCCGGTACGTTACGGATTTACCTCGAGTTACATCTGATTAAGAACATAGAACCATTACGTGATATTTCCAATTTTCTATAATTATCTTACCGTTTAAGGTGGAAAATCTTACATGATGTGTTTGAAAAAAAATATTATCAATGATCTCAAATTTTACAAACAATAAATTGTTTATAGTGAAAATCTACAAAACATTCGTAGTGGCATCTGCAATAATAAATAGAGATATTTTCTGCGTAAATTTGTGTAAATTTTGCACGGAATTATTCATACAATGGTATTTAATCATTTCTTAAAAAGAAATACCGTAATTGTTTTATGTTCGACATTCTCTCCGGCCTCCGGTCTTCAACTGTCACCAGTCTCCATAGACCTCCTTCTATTTATCGATTATTTTCAACTATATTCCTGATACAAACGTTTATTTATTTTTTCCCCAAACAATGTTGAAAATAGTTAAATGAAATATCTTTATATCATTACAAATGTTTCCCGCAGAAAACCATTTTACTTGTACATATATTTTGGTACAGTAAACCTCATGATCATATCATTGCTACTAGCTATGTTTTATATGCATCTTACTGTTATATACATGACATTATATACATGCTTTAATTATTTTTATTTCGTCATCCCCATCTGCAAACATATGGTATTTTTAAAGCAAGATATATGTGTTTCAGGCAGATTTTTCTGAATGTTAAACTTTATTTAACAAAACGGACGATTCCTGAGTTGGGTAAAACAACAATAGTCACTTTATTATTTTTATTATTTTTTGCTTTCATTCTCTTCGCCATCTACAGTGTATTACCGGTATGTATATAATTTTTCATCGTTTGACTTGTCCGTGAAAAGAATCAAATACGTCTTTTACCGATAAAAGACAATCCAATCAAATAAACATTGTTGTTAATGTTTTGATTTGATAATTGTTTCTTGTGGTTTCTTATTTATGTCATATTGAATTATTATTATGTGGAATTGTGTCTCGTTATTATATATTTCTTTCTTTATACTCCGATGTACATGTGTAAATCCGTAGACTATATCATTTCTCATCTCATCATCTATATATCTCCACAAATAATTACAATATATTTTAGACAAACTTTACCTTACTGGGACTCAGTTTACAGACTTTCAGGGCAGAGCATCTCACACTAGTCGTAGTTCTGTGATTTAATTAGCAAAGGGCTATGATTTGGTTCCTTGCATGCCTAAATAGCAATTTCATACTCCGGGTAAAGGCCATGAGAGAATAATGATTTTAACAATTTATTGGACAGGATTTATAATACCTTTTGAACTTCTAGTACAACAGAAACAGGCTTACTGCACATGCTTCTTACGTTAGATAGTTCAATACGATGAGCTTGTATAAAAATCGTTTCACTTTTGTGATTGTATTTTCCCCAACATATTATTATTTTCACCAGTTTAGCTTATTACATACACTAAAAAATTATACTACCTAGACACATTTGTACACTACTCAGTTTAGATAATATACAAGTTATCATGTTATATTAAAATGGGAAATGTGTCCATCGGACACGGATGCCTCCTAATTACTTTTTGTGTTGTCACTTTATGGACGGAATGCGAGACGGTCCTAAGGTTAATTCTATATCCCGAAAGTAGTATGCTTTAAACGAAACAATATGCCATTGAATTCAGTAACTTCACTTCCGACAATAATATGATTAAGACAAAATTGTTTGTAGTTTATCCTGAAATTACTTTCAAAACATGAAAAAGAGAGCATGGAATTCTCTAGATTTGACAAATGTAATTTATTTGCATTATCTTAAAATAGGATAGAGAAAAGTAAGCAAAAAAAATGAGGAGCGACTTTGCCCTACCCTTTAAATGACCTGACTTAGCAAGAAAAAGTAAAATTTCAAGGCAGACAAACAATTTATTTAAAGTCGAAAACAAGCTCGATGACTTTAACGGCTTGAGCTTAATTGATTCTGTTACATTGTATTGTATGTTTCATAAGTTTTTTTACTACGTTTTTATCTAGCCGAGGCTTACGCTTTTGAGCTTGCTAAAACCCTTTTCTGTTCTTGTGATAGATTTTTATCGATATTGAAATAATCATATCAGAAAAGTTTATTATGGTTAAATACTTCATTAATTAAAAGACAACCTAATCTTTTTTATATAGCACTTTATTGTTTATTATAGAGATTCAACATGAATGGACTAAAATAACAGTATAATACAAAACTTACTAATTAAAACCTAGTATTCTAACACGTGCAAAAGTGCACAAAATATTTATACTATGCGTTGACTTTCCAGCGTCTTGTTATATATCTTCGCCCAGTATAAATAAAGTATAATATATAAATCGCAAATAACTGTCAAACAAAATATGTAAATTACAAAGAACTAGCAAACATAATAAGACATCTTAGCACATAAACATAAACGTTGCAATGCTGAAGTTTTCTAAAATATTGAATAATTAAAATGTAAACAATTAAGCGAAGATATTACACTTGGTAAATTATTATTCAAATAACAAGAATGTAATTTATGATCTATTAAAACTATATATTGGCACAACGAAGGCACTCATTCAATAAATGATGTGATAATCATTCGTCAAACGTCAAATAAATATACGCATAATTACACTGCAGAGTATTCAAGATTATACATGGTTTTATTCGAAAAGTGAATAAGAGATAGAGGCTAAAATTATACGTTTATTTCTTATTCAAAAGCGTTCAATTAGGATTTTGCACACATTTTTTTCAAGATGGAAACGGATTAATGTATTTCAAAATATGCCTTATGTTATCAAAAGAAAACATACTGAATCAATACATAAGAAGCAGTTAACAAGATATGTCTTTGTAAATAAATATTACGATAATAGGTATCACATTGAGCAATTTAGTTTGAAATTCCGGTTAAATGACCACATTCCCAATTAAAGATAGATATAACCTATCCTAATTGCTATTATCTTTAGCTTGGCAAGATGATTATTTTTTTCTATTTTATTTTGATAGAACTGTACAATACAAAAATAGTTATAAATCTCATAATGTTTCAACTACAACACCTTGAAATGTACCATTGTCATATCCACTTCCATTGCTATTCTTCTTAAAACTTCTTTTCAACATTCGTTGTCTCATGTCATTAAATTTACTCGAAAAACGGTGACTGTCACTCCTTTCAAAACGACCACTTGGTCTATTGTTCCTAAATGCAAGCGATCCCTGTTTCCACTTCCTGTGAATATTGTCAAGTCTGTCTTCAAAGATTTGCTGCAATATTGGTACATCATTTTGCCTCGAATTACTTGACAGGTGTCTACTTTTTCTGCTTGATCTCTGCCGATCCGGTCTGTGCCCTTCATGCGGTTGCTCTTGTGCATAACGTTCGGTTTCACGTAGTTGGTTATAATGAGTATCTGATTCCCGCATTGATGTCATGGTTACTGTTTCGTCATCTTCGTCGTCATCATCATCGTAATCAGGTGGCATCTCATCGTAGTCCGGTGCAGGTTCCATTCGTTGCAAACGTTGTGCCTCAGCAACAACAAATCGGACAAAATCTTCTTCTGTCGACACATTTTTAAACCAATCAATTCTTGTGCTAGACATCAAATGCAAAAAGGTTCCCCAACGATGGACGAACATGCTGACAAACTGCAATGTAATACAGAATGCAAAGACAGATAAAAACATAAGCGATAGAGGTTCATACTTCTTTATGATATAAAAATCCTTCAGTTTGTCCTCCATTGTCTGAAGTTGGAGTGTTATAATCGTCCATAAGAAATTTATCATGAAATATATGAAAACAACATTGTTTTTCAAGCTGATAAGATCGTTTGCAATTTTCTCTTTGTGACTTTTATCTTCGTCCAATGGATGCAAATATTTCTTGATAATGAAACGCCAAAAGTCGATCTCATCTTCGTCTAGTTTTTCTACGCTGCCATTCCCCATATATTCAAGGTGTACCCAGTAGGGTCTATCGGGATTTGGTTCCCAACCTGACGGTGTCAAATCTTCGAAAATAGTAACTGGTTTGCTAATCTGTCGTTCAAATCGAGAAGGCTTGTCTTTTAGTATAGGCGTTGGAGGTTTAGTATCTTCCGTTTGCGACGCAGCCGTTTTCTGTTCCTTTCGCTCAACCTTGATACCGACCATTGTTTGAATCAGCTCTCTAAAATCATTTACCAACTTCGTTAAACCAATTCTGTTCAATAGAGATCTACTTTCTTTCTTTTTCTTCTTTTCCTCTTCCAATTTTTGTTTTTCTTCCTGTTCTTCTTTGCTAAGTTTCTTGGGTGTTTCACGAGTTCCCCATGAGACGTTATTCAGGTTACACAGATAGTATACTGTCAGAAGGATGAATGTAGAGGGTACTGTTAAGAAGTACAACAAACCATACACCAAACAAAAGAACTCCTGAGGGTGAAGTATACCAGCTATGGTGAAAACTCCTACAAGGCCTGTCAGGAAAACGACGTTAGGGCTTCCGAAATTTTCCGTTACAATGCTGATAATAGTACCGACAGTCGCAATCATCATCACGACTGTAAATATGGCACTGAGAACTGCGGCAGCTGTGATCTGGTGATCATTCTTCATCGTCATGCAAATTGTAATGTACACACCCACTGGTAAAATTGACAGAAGGTAAGATTCCCAAATACCAAGACCAAGTACTGAGTGATATGAACCAGTTATCATCAGGATGATTGTCGAAGGAGCTAAAATTGTTGAAGCCATTAGGATAAATTGGTACAGAATGTAAGGTCGGCTGATATTGTCGTTGATACGAACTGTATCATACCAAGAAGATAACAGATCCATCATGTTAGCAAGTGTTGAGGGAGCCCATCTACGACGTTGGTTGAAAAATTCATTGAAAGTCTCCGGGGCAAACGTAAGAGCGTCTGCGCCTGCACAGTAATCAATTCGGTGTCCTTGTTGTAAGAGCAATGTACAAAGCCATCTATCCTCGCCTGAAAAAATATAAAAATATGTATTGATGAATATAATAAGTTTGTTTCGGCGGGTTAAAAAAAGAAAAAGGTTATATGTAAGGCTATGGTATTCATCAATTTGCTCCTTCCATGGAATACAATATGAATCAATCTAAAGTTGGACATTTCTTATGAAACAAATCATACACAAATCTGATTAACACTTTTCAGTTAATGACAACAAAACAATTCCAAAGGAATAATATTATTTATTAATCGAATCAAGTGAAAAAGTATCGGTCATTTTATATATCCAAAACATAAACCTTTTGATTAAGTTTTTCTTTTTCATTTAAGTTCATTAGAGTTTACTTTAAGAATTTTCAATGAATCTTTATCACTCATTCATTTTTGCTGATTTCAACAATTAAAAAGTCCATTGATTAAGTAGGGTTACATATGCAATTATCATGTACATTAATTGATGAACTTATCAATCAAACTTCAGAGAAAGTTTCAGTGTAATGAAGCATGCTCACAATTTATGGGATATGTTTTCTCTGTGTTTAGATTTTGCAATCGAAATACCACAGAAATCTTTGTTAATGTCATAATATTGAATTTAGAAAAAAAATGATTTCGTGAAAGTATTTAACATCGAAAAATGTTACTTTAAATGATTTATTCCAATTAGGACAGTTCTAAAGCTACTTAATCACGTTTAAGTATGAAATTTTGTTTATGTTATTTTTTTGTCCTTTGATTAGAAATGAGAAATCCTTGTGAAAGATATAATCAAATAACAATTTATCTAATTTCCCACAATGAGAGACAAAAACTTATGCAATTTGCATTATACTCAAAGCATCTGTATTTAATGCATTCAAATGTCAGAATTAAAAGTAAAGAAAATAATTACGGACAAAGATTTAATTTTACTTTCCTACAAGAAAGGAAAAGCTTGTAAAAGCATGCTAATTTTTTTTTTGTGAAAGTTCTGTTCACCAATTACCTTGCTCAAACTGTATGTAATGCCGCGCTTCCGTCGGTTTGGTTGTATACATTTTCATCACATTGTCATCCATGAGAGCAGAACCACGGAACAGAGAGAAACAACCAGGACAACATAGTACACAACCGAACACATGCTCGGCCGCTTTCTGAAGCCAATGACCAACTGCGTACTCAAATTGTTGATACCATACCATAGGACCTTGAATAGTAATATGCCCCATAATTAGATTTTCTTCATCAATAAAAGTATTTTAATACTAATATGCACGTCTCTATCTGATCCATATATCAATTTTATTCAACTTATGTTGTTAATACATTCAAATCATTAATTTGTTTTGTTTTGTTCACTGAAATCGCTCTGCAAATTTATTAATATGTTTTCTCTTTAACACTCTACAATGTATCGCCCATTAGTCATTTTAGTGCAATATGAAAAAAACAATTGATTTTCAGAATCATTAATATATTTGAAAAATACAAAATATCACTTATTTTTTAAAAAATCACTGAAAATCTCGGAGGTGTACTTGGAAATATGAAATGATATGATAGACCAATTTTTATAAGTCAAATGTATATGTCGCGGCGCAAGAATTGTCAATAATCACGTGTATCTATTACATCCGCCGTATCTATATGTCATATTTGGCAAGTATAACTTCGCAAAATAATTGAAGGATATGAACAAACTAGCCTCCTCAATTAACAATTTAATAGTTATATTCTGACTACTGAAATTCTAGAAACTTATATATCAATCTTCTTTATCTGATACTTCAAAAGAGTTTAGTTTATCATATATTTTCCTTCATCTAATAAACGGGACGACGGGCACATGTTTCTTGTCAAACGAAAACGAGCAGACATATGAAGACGTGCACATGGTAGAAAATGTGATATTTGGAAAACATTAAAGGTTTATTAATGCCATAAATACAGGTTTATTTCACTTAAATTTTATACGCTATATATCATAACTAATTTTACGCTGGTTAATCAGTTTTTACAAAAATACATAAACTTTCATTTTCTGTTGATTCATTTTGAGTAATAAATCATGTTCTACTTATAAATTTTGTTGTTAAACTCTAATTATTTATATTTTATAGACTTTCTGCCTCTTTTCGTGCAATATTGAGATTTATTACAATGCTTTCAGTAATGACCATAATTGTCTACATACCAGAGCCGATTGGATGGATACGCCCACATACAGCGCCGACTTTCCTGTTTTTCTTCATTCGATCCACAAGCAATTTGACAGATTCGGGTTTGAAGTCCACATCACCATCCAAGGTGAGAATAAAGGTGTTTTCAGCCTATTTAAAGAAGTACCAATAGTATAAATTTCTACAACATATCTCGGACAAATGTCTTTTATGAATATAATTTCGTATCAAACATGTTATCTTATTATGAAAAAAACAAAACTATTAACTTGTTTGGAAATGTTAATGTGATTACGTGCTTAAATAGTTCTTTTAGTTTTTATAACATATAAGAATGTAGTTAAGAGGCATCAGTAATTTAAAACACATACCGCTCTATATTGCTTCAGACAAAGAAGGTTAAACGAAAAAAAAATTGCTAACCTTTTCATATTTTTCGCTGTCCATTTTATTGAAAAGTGATTTGACAGGACGAGACAGATTATCTTTCTTGGACTTGCCCTTCTTACGGTTTCGAGCCTTTGAGATACGACTTTCAGTCTCTTCAGTGAATGCCTTTTCATTGTCCCCTGATCCAAACAGCCGATATCCCAACAGGTAATACATGTACATACACTGTCAAATTGTAATGAAATAATATTATATTGTAATAAAAATACATAAATTATTGATTTGAAAGTTTTATTAACTTTGTCGGAGACTTTGAATGACATTGAATTCGTGATATCAATGTAATTAATTCATATTAGTTTAGCAGAATATATAGCCTATTCAGCAAAATACAGCATCTTGGCCATTCACTAGTAGAATAAATAATAAAGGGGTTTGAATTTTTCTAATTTTGATTCAGAAATCCACTTATTTAAGTTGCTATCCTTTCTTAAATTGGCTAAATAAATAAGATTGTTTGTCTTAGTATTTATTCTATCAAGCTGTTATCAAAACCTTTATATCAAGTATCGATTCAATGGCATTTTCCCCATTTCTTACTTTAGTAAATTTGTTATCAATAAAACTCAATTTAAATTCATCCTCCTCTCCGATCAATCAGCAATTATAAATGTAATTTTACATCATCCTTGCAAGTTGAAATGGATCTACAGGAATAAATTGTTATCTCGTCTCGTAATCAGATTTTCAAAAAAAGGTTCTTTTCACAGACATTCAGACGAAGGTTTTGTACAAATCTTATTAAATTTTTTAAATCAACTTCGGTGGAATTTTCGCATTTTGTAATCCATCTATTTACAACACAATCTCAGTTTAGAAACGAAAACAGATCTTTTTTTCCAAACATTATATTCTTCAAAGAACAAAGACTTTCATATTTGGAAGGTAGATTAAAGTGCAAAAACACAATTTATTAAAAAGCAAGTAGCATTTGAAGCGCATTTTGTAAAGGCAATGGGAACAACACGTCATAGTTTGTATTTTGAACTAGCCATAACTGAGCAATGAGTGTAAAGTTTTGCGCTCAAGGAAGAAATGGCATGCTCTTGATGGGGTTTGAACCCAAACTGCTAGCGATTCTTAGAGTAATATTCCGACGTGTTAAGCACTCGGTTATTTAAAATATTTATTCCATTAACCTCATTTGTGAATGGCAAGATTGCTAGTAACTATTATTTTGGCTATTTGAAGACTGATACCATATGATCCTTTTCTTCATAATCACATTTAAACATGAAAAACATGTCATGGCTGAAAGGGACATTTAAGGATTTATAAACGTTAAGACATATTACCTGTGACCACCGTTTTCTGTGTCTGATTTTGTTCTTATCCTTCACATGAACAACCATCTTAGTATGTCCAGGCATGGTCCATACAAGTCGTCCACCGTATGGGGTAACGAACTTCGTCGGTGGTGATATTAGTATAGGACCTTTTACTACAGACCTGTAATGTTATGCGGCATTTTTTATGTCGATGTTCTTTTGTTATTGCCTACGCCTTTTTCATTTGACCAATTAAGTTAATAATAAGAAAGAAGTTTAAGCAAATGTATAACTATTATGTTAATAAAAAGATCGTGTAATGCAAAATATATTGAACATATTGTCAATAAAACATTCATTTATATCTTTTCAGTTTTAAATAGTCAATTTTAAACATATCCATATAACGTGAGAATACATTTTAAAACATAGAGTTAAGCACAAAATATATGATTAATTTTGCTTTCCGCAGATATTGATTAATGATAACATTTACGGATTGAATTAAAAGAATCGAAATAAGAGCATCTACTGTAAAATATTATCTGATCTTAGTCGGCGCCTTGTTTTAGTATAGCTAGTTATGTATATTTCAGACATTAACCTAACCAGTTTCATATTAAATTCTCTGATTTGTTTACCAATTTTAGAAGATAAATATATATTTTTCTTGTGAACAATGTTCCATTTTAGTCGGTATTTCATTTTTATCCAACTCGGTTAATTGCTGATAACCTTGCCCAATTATATGTCGATTATTGAACTTTTGCAACAAAATTCGTTTATCCTAGCAAATGAAAGTGATAAAATCTGTCAATTTATCGGGCATGTTTATGTTATAGTCACGCTACAAACACAAGAAGAAGAACTTGCAGTGGTATATTAGCGTACACCTTGTTAAGCTATCGTTCTTGTTGTTGTAGTCGTTTTGTTGTTCTTCTTCATACTACATAACTGTTTAGCATATTAAACATCTTTCAACACAACTATTCTTTAAATAGCGAATAAAATGCTCAAACAAGATAACGGTGTATAACTATTTAATGCTCATACAAGTTAAAGCTGTATAACCTTTTCATGCTCAAATATGATAAAGTGATAGAACTATTTAATGCTCATGTATAACTAACCGTGCAGCATCCTCCATACATTCCATTAATTGCTTCACAAAACTGTTAGGTACAAACTTGTCCACGTCGTCATTTAACTCGAACGCATCGTCAAATATTATATGAACTGAAGAAAAGAATCATTATTTCAAATAAACGTGTACATAAAAATATATTATGTGGAAAAGCAGAAAATTATTTTCATTATTGAAACATTTCAAAATTAGCTATGTAAATGATTTAATTTACTAAGAGTATATGTATATTTGAAATAATGTCAAAATGAAATATTTTTAAAAAACACTCTGGAAACAATTAATAAATATCTATTTCACAAAGTTTGTCAACCTCCAATATTTCGAGGGGTTACAACCCTCTTTATCGAGTAGTTTGCTGTTTATTTTCGAAATCACTTTTTTCCTACAATATGCTATCTGAAATCTTTACTGGAAATGACGCCGTTGACGTCAACAATAAAATACACAAAGAGTGAAGACGGCATTTTCCGTCAAAACTTAATGAAATAGATAGAAATATTTATAATTTGTCAAAGAAAAGAAAATTCTTACTCTCAAAATCATAATAATCGGGATCCTTGATTTTGAATTTTTCTTGAGCTAGACGGCTTGCGCAGTGATTGTAATCCAGTCTGTAAAGAAATAAAAACAATTTTATACATGTAGAAATGTTACATACAATTGTCATCAATTATATATAATGTTATAATAAAGCACTGTTATGTATTTATAATTTCAAATCCAGATCGAAAATGTAATGAAATAAAACAGTTGCAATATGTGCATTTTAAGCAAATTTTAAAACCATAGTTGATTATATTAACATTGCCTGTTGCAATATCAAAATTATATATACCTGAACATTGATTTCAAAAGCTGTGTCATCTCCTGTCTGGTCTCGTGCCACATTGTCGCGCATGCGTAGATCTGCGGAACAACGTTTGGCTTAGTGTTGTATATCCCTTCCTCGTAACTCTCTTCTCCAACATAGCGGAAAGTGTCAAACCCAGTCAGTTTGATCTCTTTGTCATTGCGCCGGCGTCGAAGGGTGAGTGTAAAGTCTGGGAATATGCCATCGAAATGTGGAGTCACAAACAACCTTTGAAATTAAAAGTATATTTAATGTATTCTATTAGTATTCTTTCAAGTTTTTTATAGATGCATTCTGTTCTTATGTTAAGATGAAATTACAACTTTTGGACTGTTTTCATATATTGCAATACATTTACTATTAAAATGAGTTGATATATTAAATAATATGTATCAAAATGAAAATAAACAAACAAAAACTAAATGTAATTCTTACTTTTCTAGTTTAGCCATTCTTTCACTTTGAGGGAACCATATGTGAGACACTGTGATGCAATAGGATAGCCAGAGAGCAAGAGCACATGCTAACGGTATAAACAAATCACTTATATCCTCGCCAGGACAAAACCATCCTCCCATGTGCCAATGCGCTGGGATGAATTCAAAATGACATTGTAGATAGATTAGAGCCAATGTCACTGGTGGGGCAAGTGTAATTGAGAAGGAAAACGCTACTCGTTGCATGTGTAATTTACAAGCCAACCCAGAAAGGTAGGTTATAACAATGCCGGATCCTATCTGTAAGTACATCAAACTGTATGAGTGAAAATGGTCCTCAACGCTGTCCATTGGTACTGTGTCCGTAGTATTATCATATTCAGTTGCAGTGGAAGCTAATCGAAAATCTGTGTTCTCCGTCAATAATCTTGAGAGAAGTATCATGCAACCTATTTTCCACGGGATAACGAGAATATTTACAGTGTCTCTTGAATCTTGTAAAATCTTCCTCCAGTGTTTGAAAGGTACTCGAAACTTTCCACATATTGTCCAGTCGCCTGAAACGTAGTTTTCCCAATAGCCTAGGGAGAATAACAGCAAACCAACGATCAATTCCCATTCAATATGGCCGACAATGGTAACAGGCGTTTGTTCATATGTTGTAGAGTTAACTCCCTCTAAGATTGTATGATTACCGTCCAAGATCAAACCTGTAGTTAGAAACGGTAGAATACCGATTTGAACGACGAAAGCTAATACATTTAGGACGATAGCAACGATTTCACTAATGCTTGGGTTTGGTCGGCGTTCACGAACGATCACTTTCAACAAACTTGGGATTTGACACACGGCAAAGCTAATAATAACTCCACGAAACATGTCAGTCGATGGAAGGATGCGGTATATGATTAAACATGCACCAAACGCTTGAAGACATTCCAACACAAGTAGCTGAAAATGAGGAAAAACGAATGGTTTTTAATAAAGTTGAAAACCATAGTACCCAAGAAATATAATCGTTTCTTAATAGCAATACATGTAAATTAATTCTGTGTGTAATGAGAAATAAAACAAATTTTTGTTTGAAATATATCTTAGATATAAATAAAAAATATATATACACTTTTAAATATTATTGCTTTAAAATCAAGGGTGTATTGATTAAACACTCTGTGAAATTTGTACTGCTATTACCATTAAGAATGTTTTAACTGACGGCCATTCCTTTCCTCCAAACAAAGTTTTCATCATCGACATAAACCAATTGAACGCAAGTGGTCCGCAAATACAGAACAGAAGCGTGGTCACGTGTTCCCCTCGACTTTCTTCATCCTGCATTAAAGAGAAAACAATTGTTTCATATTTTACAAGGACGTACATTTGTTATTCAAGAATGTATATTCATTTTGGCAAATCGAAATACAAAGATAAATTTTATGCAATTTGTAACATAAATGAATGCAAAAACAGGTTCCAAGTGATATTGCAATCATTTATTTTAAATGATTAAAATGAATTTCCTTCAAGACTTTTTCACCATTGGAGGAAAACATTTCTTAAAATCTGATTTTAAACCTACTGCTGAAATTCTCTTTTTATTAGAAGTTATTTTTCAAAGTTGTTTGTTCAGGTTATAATACGTTTGGTAACTGACCTTGTTGACCCCAGATATGAGAAGCATCAGAGAAAGTTTGTTGACCACTGCGCCTCCTAGGATAGCAAAGAACATGATGACGTACATAACTAAACGTACAAGTTTCATAATCTCTTTAAATATGGCATCATTTTCTTCAAATTCCCTCTCCGAAACTTGAAATATGTCGTAAGGACGCCTGAAAAGATAAACCTTATCTATTAAACACTTAGTGAAAAGTGCACTGTATTTTATGTTAATTTGTGGTATAAAAGATTTACCCTTAATCTGCCGAATTTGTCATATTGACATGTCCGACTTCCATTTTCCATTTGTCCTTTATCAATTTTTTTAATATCAAGATGAAATTTTGAAAAGTTGTCCAGCCAAAAGTATAGGGGCTGGTCAGGCACCACATAATGTGCAGACTGGCCTGTCTCTACACTGAAGACAGATGCGTATCACTTTTGTTTGCTGCAGGGTAAGGTTGCAACATGTTCTACATTTCATTGCCTCTTAAAGCAGACTAAATAAAACCGAGTCCCTGATTATTCTTTTGTTCATTTCTAATAGTTGCTGCAATATGTTTGATTTTCAGAAACAATGTATTTGTGTTAAATTTTATTGAAATATTATCTATAAATGTATATAAAAATGATGCTTTAATATGGAAATTAAACAAAATATACCATTGATCGTTGGTGATTTCAGATTCATAGGAGCCTGTTGTTGTGCTTTTGCTTTCTTCGGACGTGTTTGAAAGTTGGCGCTTTGTTGGAATCCCATCCTGGCCTGTAGGTATATACCGTGGGAGTTTACAATCCTCATATTTGACAGGTCCACCAATGCCTTCAAGAATTCCATCTTCGTTTGTATGAAGTTGTGAGAGCTTTTCTTTCAACAGATCATCCGTTCTGATATAGCCACCTGGAAAATATATTTAAAAAATAGAAATATATCTTTATCAATTTTATTTTATTTCATCTGCTGATATCAAAATTTAGTTTGTTTGATTCTGTGTATTTTTCACAGATTATGGAGCAATTGTAAACATGTGTATAACACTTGTTATTCTTAAAAAGGGATGTATATTAAGTAACCAAATTGTTTATATAGTTTGTTTTTGAATTTCTTGATTGAGACGTACTGATATCATTTTCTTCGGGCTTTCTCGGAGTGCTTGTGATGTGGTCATCACTGATATATGACGTATCTTCTGACGTCATCGACAATGAATCTCGAGAAGCTCTCCGGCGTTCTAATTCTTCCAACTCTTCTTGTTGTCGCTGTATGGCAAGTCGGTTCTCTTCTTCGATACGTTGACGTTCTATCTCTAATTGTTGTAGACGTTCCTGTTCTAATTCTAACAGCCTTTGACGTTCTAATTCTAATTCTCGTTCACGCTGAATTCTTTCAATTTCTTCAACCTGTATCATATGAATATATCTGTAATAACTTTCGGGTAATAATCAAACCTTGTAAAGCTACCAATGTTTTTCTATAAGGTGTTGAATATGAAAATTTGTTATCAAAAATATGTTTATTCATACTACTGATGGTAAAAAGCATGCCTCATCTTAAAATATGAGTCAAGTTTACTAATAAATTAACAAATAAAAAGAAAGATCTAGTTCAGCAATATCTAATGTTTAATTAATCTATATTTAGTAACATGTTTGCACGATCATGTTACACTAATGGACATAATGAGGTCGAGAACAATATGACCTATTGACTTAATATAAGCCAGACTCATGGTCAACTATGTCATTTTAAATGTCAGGAGGGAGGATTCTTACATATACATTGTAAATATATATAATTTATTGTAAATTTGACAAATTATTAATGTAAGATATTTAACTTTCAATGGTAACTTTTGAATACACCTTGTCTATATGTGCATGTATTAATAATAGTATAAGGGGAAACTGTGCTCCTCATGAAAAAGAATGGCCGCATATTGCAATTTATATCCTAAATAGAGGTCAATGAGTCATGCTAGGCTTCTTAGTGATCATCATGTTTATTGTTTGACTTTATCGCTAATGATATTGATGATATTATAAATAAGTGATATAAAGAGCATCGAATTACCAGACTTTCTCATTTGTATGAAGGGGCGTTGCCAACACCCCCAACCCCCTCAGTATAAATCAGATTGCCGAGTGTTTTAATGTTCTTTCTGTTTTGTATTGTAGGCAGAAATAAAAATGAAACCTCAGAAAAGAGTAACCAATGTACGAGCATCTAAAAATTACTTTTCTGTCGTTATCCATTTCCCTGTCGTGACAATAAGTAAACCCCAAAAAATGTCGCCAATCAACGAGCATGCTCTATTTTTATTCCCGACAGTGGAGTGCCTGTAACTTATACCTACACTCCAGTTAATTAGGTAAACGATTTATCTCTCGACACATTTTTAATAGAGAGGTATCCAACTAAGATATAACAAACAATTGACAAAATTAGAAAAACGCTAATAAATAATTATAGCAAGTGTTTACATATTGAAAAATTAACGCATTGTTAAGCATACAATTATTTGAATTAATTTCATCGTGGGTAAATCACTTAATGGTAATTTGTATGCTGATATTGTTCTTGTTTGCATCGGCTTAACACCTTTGATCATCAAATTGTTGTTTTAACAAAATGATTAATTTTCTCCTGTGGAACAACAAAAAAAAGGTCTGAATGCATCACTGATCAACATTACCTTTATTCGTCTACAATTTTCAAGGTCTTCCTTTTGCCATGATTTCATAAACACCTAAAATATATAACCAAATGAAACATGTTTAGTTAAAATTCACTGTTAACAGTACATGAAAACATAACATAGGTGAAAGCCCATCTTAACACATTCCGTCAACCGTTAGTAATACGATATTAACTTGCTCCTTTCAATTAGGTATGCAGGTGGTAGTAGCTTCTAAGAGTAAATTATAAGAAACTGTATAATAATTCAAAATACATAAATGATGGACTTTTTCTTTTCATAACCTATTGATTATTTCTTGAAATATTTGTTACATGGAATGTCTATGTAAATCAATATATATGAATATTATACGTAAACATTAAAATGTTCCCGGACAAAATTGTCCGCTCTTATTTTAAGTACGTTAGGTGATTATTTCACATTCACGTTTTTTGATAAGATATACCGACAAATATCTTTCATTCTAAATATTCTGTAATCATATAAATATATGTACCTTTAAACACTTTAAGTAAGGTATTGGAATTTTAAATCCAACCGTAACTGGACAGAATAACAATAATTTCAAATTTCAGTAAAAAAAACACTGAGATGGCTTATATGAATATAATTCATATTTTAACAATTTAATAAAGTTCATCTGACTGAAATCATAGATAAAAGCACGATCGACTGCATGAATCTCTTTTATGGTTATAGAAATAGTTGATAGTTTATTTCTCAACGAACTAGAAGCTTGATATGACAATTGCTTTTCGCATTAAAGTCAAACTTTAATCTTCTACCAATTGTTTTCAGAAATCAGAGGCATTTATGATAAGATACAAATACATTGAAAAATAGTCGACAGAATTCTTTTGAATCAATGATAAGAAACCACATGCTTTGTTTGTTTGTTTGTTTCATTTTACGCCTTTTCCCAACAGTAATTCAGTCATATAGGTGGGTAGTTTCCTAACCATCGTTCCTGGAGAGTTACACCAGTACTAGACTACCTTCCTCCGTGCTAAACTACCAAAGCATCTCCCGGGAGAAAACCACATGCAACATATTATACAGCACAAAATTGTGTTATACAAATAGGGTAATTTTTTAATAAATCTTTTTTTTATATCATTACACGATAACAGTTCATGATGTCATCGACCAATATTTGAGGCATGCCTTTGATCGCGTTTTTATTGACTTAACCTCATAAAATCGATCGCCATCGATCAATCTTAGCTCGTGAACACGATTTTTTTGTCTATATGTAGTCATTTAACATATATATAAAGTCAAAATTATATATGACAAAATGCAGTGTAAAGAAGTCACACATACTTTTTTCCAAGGGACAAACTAAGTATGAAACATTTATATCTTATGAATTTGAAACTCATAATTAAACAGAAAAATAACTTGTTAAAGAAATACAAATAAATTCAGTTATTGTCATATATCAATATATCAATTTCATATATCAATATAACAAATATTAGAATAACTGAACACTATTCCCTATTAACGGTTACTCTATCATACTCCATCATTTTATCCATATTTAAACATAGTAATTCCATATTTAAACAAAGTAATAATAAAGCAGACAGCAGAACGACATCATTGTGTAATAATGGAAAGTTGCCCCTGGTACACCGCCCGGATCAAACTCAAGCCTAAATTTGATTAACAAACTCAGATGTTGTACACTTGTACTAACCGGGTGTTTTAGAAAGAAACAACAAACTTCTACACACATTAAATCACAATCATTAATTTGTAAAATGAATATAACATATTATGTCAAATTATCGCATCCATTGTTATTTTGGAATAAAAAATGTTCTATATATGATTTATTGTCACTCACATTTTATAACAATTATTCTCTACTTATTTTGCTTAAGATTTAGTGAAATATTTTGTAATAAGTTAGTTTGAAATCCATTTGTTATATTTAAGATTTGTCATTTTAAAAAACAAATGACAATACTTCATTCACGTAGTCGTTTTTATTTCTTAAAGGAGCTTCTCTGTGGTAAAAAAGGCCAAAAACATAAAATTCATTTTTTTTGCAAACATCAAGTAATGCACTTAACATGGATAAAATCCTACAACGGGTAACAAAGAACTATAAATGATGAATTTGAAAATCAATAGATAATGCATTTCGTTACCCGATTATAGTGAAGTGAAAAGCGTTGAAATGCTTTCATTTTGGAGTAATTTTGTACAATGAAAATGGTTATTCTGATAAAACGTAACTGATCTGAACATTTGCATTATGTTGGGACAAACATCAATAAGTACCCAAATCTTGGTAGGAAAAATTAGTCCTTTTAAATTAAGCAATAACCTGTCTCCATGCAGCTGTACAAATTGCGTAACTGGTATTAAATCCAAAAAAATCTATATGAATTTACGGGTGAAATAAACTGGATAACAATAAGGCATCAGGTTTTTAATTTTAATGCATTTAAATATTATATTACCTTAGTTTTGCCAACTTGATATCCCTGAATACCCGTCTCTTCTAAAATCTGGATAGCTCTCTCATAATCACCAGCGTATATGCAATCATCAAGAAGAATTCCGTATCTAAAAAAATAAAATAAAATGAAATAACCTTAGCGTGCGTAATTCCCTTAAAAATCGATTTGCCCAAGTGTCATTTTGGGAAAGTTAATACAATTTTGTTGATAACTTTAAAGCTGACTAGACAACAGTAATGCTCTATTGCTCTATTATTATCGGACTGTATGAACGGGCAGGCTGGTCTGTTAACCTGGTATCTACCATATAGCAATCATAGTGGATAGTAACCATTCCCAAATCATAACTAGTCGTATGAAAGTGCGAATACGAATCGTGGTTAGATTGTTGTATGGGATTTGTTGTTGTAATGATATTTAGATGACGAATGCGACTTTATAATAAAAGCAAACCTTAAATGGTTGGTTGCTGTGATTCTGTTTTACGTTTTGTTAAAACACATACCTATTAAGTAGAACACATTATTGCACAGAATGTAAAAAAGATACAATAAGACGTACTATAAAAGCTTGTTCATGCATGCCAATTTGGAAGGAAAACAAATGATCCAATATTGAACTTGCCTGGATTTACTTTTTTGTACTGTGTATGAAGTTAGAAGGTCTACACAATGTGCTTTTAATATTAACCGTAATGGAAATAAGGTTTAAACCATTTTTGTGTTATGTGTATGTCATGGTTCTTGTGCTCATGTTTGTGTTAAGTCTCACTCCATATGTAATAGTATTACCATGTATGTACATTGTGCCAAAATATCTTATCTTATCTTATCTTATCTTGTCTTTATAATAACACATATTTAACGGTTGTATTTTCATTTCCTTTATCAAATGATTGAGTTATTATTCCCTGACACATACAGACTGTTTCGGGAAATCCGAGGTAAACTGGTTCATATATTATATCATCATAATTATATTTAATATTTAAACACACGCGTAGTACGTGCGTGTTCCATTTAGATTACGCGAAGTAATTAGCAACAACCAAGATATTTAATGGCAACAATGTTCTTAAACATAAAAGTGAAGTCATTCGCATTTATTTCAATCAATCATAAGACAGAACAATTCATATGTTAATTTACATTTTCCATCATTTTATGAATTATGTTATTTTAATAGCGAACGTACAAACATTTTAAATTTATTTAGATTTAAATAGTCCACTCTTACTCACGTTTAAGAGCTGTGTGTTTTAAATCCTTTTTGTTGAATAGCTCACCATGTTTCAAGGAAAGTAGTTGAGTAGAAGTAATGGATACTTAGTAGATATTGTCATTATTACTTATTGGTTTATTACTATGACTGGCCAATGTGTCAATAAAACTATTCGGCACGGGAATAAGGAACGTGTTATATATGACAACATTATGAACCGTCAAGTTCTAGCGTTCATCTACCTATCAATTATACATGACGTAAGATGACATCGCTTATTGCAAAAAAACCTCATATGACCATAAAGATGACACTGCGGACAGTAAAAATAATTTTGACATACTGACGAACAATAAAATATTAGTGCAAACTTTAGCAAATTGTCCTACATTTTTATGATAAGTTCTTTTTGACTATAGGTTCGTTCAATTAACCATTTCATTTTCATATCAAGTTTTTAAGTAAGTATAATATCTAGTTATTTACGCAAATGTCTTAATATTCAGATTTCACTCTCCTTTCCTATATATTCAACCTTTGATCCTTGATGGTAGGGGCGGTTGTGGATTCAAATCTTACTCGGGTTTTGACCATGTTTCTTCATATAATACCAGTAATGGCGAGTACTCAAACATGAATGATTCATGTGAATATTTTTATTTCCATTACACATAAGAGCATGATACTGAATGTAATGGAGTTCAACATTGTCTTTTCTCATTTGTCTTTTCTGTGGTAATATCGGTTCTTATCGTAGATTAATATACTTCAATTCATATCACAACATTTCATCTACAAAACATAAATATGATGTATCTAAAAACTTCAATTCATTTTCTAAATACGTATTTTATTGCAATTAATTTCGTCTTTTTGTCGTTTTATTGGGTGAGAAATGCGTTTGAGACTTTCCGTTTTTTTCACATTTCTAGGTAAGACGCCTTCTCAGAGATAAAGTGACGCGTTTTTCTTCATTTTTTGTTGTTATTTGAATTGATAAAAATGGGCAATTTTCTATAATTTGATTTTCATATTATATAAAAAAAGTCCATCTTTTTCGCTATGGAAAAAATATTGACTCATGCATGACTTATATATCGATTTCTCATACATTAATCATAAATATTATTTGATCTATCGATATATCTTCTTTGTTATATGATACATTGTGTTTCCTTTTTTTTTTTCGATCATTATTTTTTTCTTTATATAGCCGACTTTTTTCTACTAGTATTTTACACTATTTCTTTGTTGGTAAAGTCGGAAATAAATACGTTTAATATACCAGAATATAAATGATTTGTATAGGCGGAGAATGTCATAAATTATAAACCCTGGTCAGGACATTATTGACCTGAAAAACGACTAAGCTTGTTTTAATGATTCTTTATGCTAATCATATGTTAATCAAACATACATTTCCATAAAGTCATTGAACACATGTGCAAAAAGATACTGTCTTATATCGGAACAAGTACGTGACTGTGGTATTCAGTGTCGTAGAGCATTTAAATAATAAAAATGGAAATCGGTAAAAAAATCTGGAAGAGGGTGATCCCTCGGAAGCATTAATCGCAAAAAATACATGAAAATTGCAGAGTCGGTTTGATTGAGTCTGTATATGAGGGATAATAAATAAGTGCAACATTCCTGACGCCCCCTCGCAACTGCATTTTTCTCACTTGAAAATGTTTGAATCAATGATCCCGAAGGACCAAAAAAAAAAACAAATGAAATCAAGGCGTCACCTTGTCATGTCCAAAACACTTCATAACAATCATATCAATAAGTTTATAGCTACTTATAAACTATATGTAAAATAAGTTATAAATGTCTATAAATAGATTTTACTTCTGTCATTTAATGATACCATTTGACAGTTAAAAATAAACTTTTGAGATATAGACTTTGGTATTTCTTCCGCCTCCACCTTTGAAGAGTCGTGTCAAAATGGCGACATTTAACCACAGGTAAAGTGAAAATGATTGAATAATTGTTATACTGATGTAAGTCGATGAAATATGTTGTTGTGAGTACAAAATGTAGTTTTAGAACAATCCTATTATGTACGTCCGTTATTAAAGAAAACAGTAATAAATAGTCTTGAAACCTTTTTATAAACCATCGTTATGATAAATGAACACACTCCATAAGCCGAGCTTTTTGTTTGTGATTTCATTGCTCATTGGGCATTTCTCCTTTACAGTATTATTTGTGGTGATGTTTTTTTTCCGTTCAGAATATAATTTTATAATATAAGCACGAGAGTCAACTTAATATATAACAGCAGGCAATTTAGTTAAAGTTATATAATAAATGAACATTTATTTCCCAAATGCAATCTATTCAAAGAACAAAATATTAGATCAAGCTAGACAAACTAAATCTACAAATGCTTGCAGGTAAAACATAGAAATTCTATTATATGTAAAAACATTATGAAAAATCAGGTAACAAAGGAAAGATGGAAGTAAATTGAAATGCATTAGATAAAGTGAGTCATAATAAAAATATGAAACTAGAGCCAATCTTGCCAATAAGCAATATATATTATAATTTCAACCAATATTTTCTATTAACAAAAAATAAATGAAAGATGTGGAAAAAACTGTAAACAAGTAATAGCGGTAAAAATAAAAGAAAAACATATATAATTATATAATATCTGAATAATTATAGTACATAATATGGAAAATGGGAGATCCCTTAGAGGCAATGAAAATTAAAAAAATATGATGAACAAGATTATCAAGGAAAGATGGAGTTCAATGAACGCAAAACGACAAGAAAATTGCAGACTTGGATTTGACCGTGTCTGTTCGTGAAGTATAATGGAAAAGTGCAACCTCAGTCAAACTCTCTAAGACCGGTTAAAGTCACCTTTTATTTGGCAACTAGAAATATAATATCAGTAACATGATTTAGTTTCAAACTCATGAATAAGAACAAATGAACAAAGACTTACCTCTGTACAAAATCCTCAAACACAATTCTCACAGGGTAGCCATCCCGACGGAGCTGTGCAAGTTCCATTAATCCATTGCACGATAATTGCCGACGAATTAGCTCGGAATCAAACTTACTAGCCGACAAATGATGGTTCGGCTTAACACATCTTTAATAAACGAAACGAAAATATTATAATTCCAGCACAAGTTTAAACCTCATTCATGTCTACTTCATTATTAAAATCATTGTAATTATAACGTATTGTTCATATTCAAAACAGTGTGGTTTAAAACACGATTAAAGGCAAGATTACGTCAATTACTGACAAGTGGAAATATTTCGATAAAAACCAATCTAATTTAACCAAGGAGTTCCGCTGCAATGAAACCTTTGCGCCTCTGTTTGATGAATCATGTCATTAACAAAAATAGCGGTATCTACTTTATTACATTAACTTTGAAATAATTGACAAATGAAAGCCGCATCTAAATTTATTTTTCATTGTCTTTTTTTTTGCTAATTTCATGTGAATCTTTACAGATTTATCACTTTAAGCCGAGGATATAACAACACTTAACTTGAAATAGTGTTAGTTCCCGAATCATAAAAAATGATGCAAATTGTCCATTTAGCGTAATTTATGATAACATTAAACTGCAAAGCATAAAAAGTATGAAAACAAATTGTTTTGAGATAATTGTTGCAGAACAATAAATTTAGCAACAACGACCGTCATAACAACATTTGCCATAAATGTCAAACAAAATTAAACATGAAATAAATTGCCAAATGCAATCATACTCATAGTTTGTTTGAATCGTTAATTACAACAGTAAGCTCGATTAATATAGGTAAATAATGTTCAGAAAAAATTGTCCACGTGTTTAATTGTCTTTTTATCCGTAACAGAGAACGGAAATAATACAGAATGAACCTACCTTACAAAAATAGGCTGTGCCAAATTAATTTTCTCCATAAGGTCAGTAAGGGAACGCTGAAAATAAAACATTAGATAATCAGCATTACATTTAGAACTTTTAAGCTATAGTTTGTCTTTCAAAATAAACCAAAACAGATTTTCCAGCTTTTTGTCTACTACATTGAATATGTTACACGTTGTTATAATTTTTCCTAAGCAAATGCCGTAAAATAGCGCAACTTTGTCCTGTTAAAACGGAAGAATTTAAATTTAGTGAAATTAACGCAAAATTGCAATGATACTACAAGTTATAAGATATTATAACAGGTTATATAACCGTGTGTTGCATGTAACGGTTGTTAGTTTATATAACCCGGGCTTTTATATACTGTTAACTACTACATGATACTGCACAATTTTTGCTTTATAACTATGGAAATAAATTAATAAATTTACTGCAGCGTGTATATAATTAATATAAGCGTCGTGATTGACCGTAACAAACGTCATTAATATAAAGTTCTTATACATGTACATATTTTAAATAAAAACCTTGTAGCTAAAGACATAAACAGTCCTATTACTTCTGAAAATAATTATTTCTGCAATTGGGGCTTGAGTACGTTAATAAGATGTACGAACCTTAAAATGGTTGGTCACTGTTGGAGACGACCTTGCACTTGCCATGCTATCTAGTGTGTCGCCTGAAAGATTCCGGGGCCTGAAATACAAAATTAAACGTCAGAGTAAAATCTATATCTTTCTATTATTACTTTAGTGTTTTTATTGAATTGTGTATATTTTAAATTGTATATGATTCTATTAATATGTATCTTCATAGAATTAGAACGATGACAAAATAGGCACATTCAAGAGTAAAAGTTGCGATAAAAGTATACTGTGCCATGACAACTTAAAGTTAACAATTATTTGTGTAATAGTCTTCTTTCTATGCAGTTTGTTTCCATACCTTTTCTATGCTTGATGTAAACATGTATTGTGTAACTATGCATTGTCTACGCATTGTCTATTTATTATGCATTGTGGAACCATGCATTTTCTATGCATTGTGTTTCTATACATTGTTTATGCATGATATAACTATGAATTGTGGTTATTGATAAATGTATACCGTATCCGTATGTATATACATGTATAATCAAGTATGTATATCACAATACATCATGCAGTGGACGTGTAAATGTAACATAGAAAACATACCAACATACCTGTATTTACGAAATACACTTGTCATATAACAGTGCTGTGTTATATAAAGTAACATGTATATAATCGGCAAATTTTGATAAACTCAGTGCAATTAAGTGTTCTTTCAAAAGTTTATTTTTCCAAATTTTTAAATATTGATGGTAATAATAACGATAAAGCAGCAATCGTTCATCTATTTTTTAATCAGCAAATGTTTGAGTAGCTTAACATTTCTACAACTTGTTAAGTAGACATTGTTGCTATTTCATAGTTCATTTAGGCTGCACAATCAAATCGAGCCTGCAACAATTTCAATTTCGTCGTTCTGGGCGTTCTGTTCTCTATTTTATATGGTAAGACTAATACATTTATTTGACCGAAAGAAATATTATCATTCCATTTTTATCTATGTAGTTAACAGGCACCGCTTTGCACTGAGCTTATAAAAACTTGTAACAAACAATGAAATACAATTGCAAACAAAAAGATATATATAAATAGACCTTTCCACAGTCGATACATTACATTGCTAACCTATTCGTCTTTATACGTAAAGACGCCTTCCTCGAAACGGACTCTTTTAGTTGCTTCCTGAGGTCTAGAGAGGATGGCCAGGCACTCGGCAGCTTTGGTCTACTGGTGCATTGTCGAGCAAAACTGCAAAATACAAGAAAAAAGTAAATTGCGGTTCATATATTCACAGAAGTGATGGTCAACTGAGATTTATATCGGCATTACAACACATTGCAGGTGAGCACATTTAAAAGATTTACAAATAATTGATTCCGTGCGATATTTCATATAGAACATATCGATAGAAAACTACCAGCCAGTAAAGGAGATAGCTTAATAAGCCATTCACATAATCTTTATACCTGAAATGCTCAATCTGGGTAATAAGATGTACAACTGTGACATGGATAATTCACAAAAAAAGATAAACAAAACTTTAGCAAATAGGTTGTTTTGTATGTGAATATTTCCCCTTTAATTTAAAGTTTCTTTAAATAGTTTAAATTTACCAAATTTCGCTCTATGCTAATTAACCTAGCAATATGACCGACCTGTCAAATTAAATATGTTACAGTGTCAGAATTAACTATCATTTTTATTTTTCGGTGTTTATTAAGTCAAACGCCGGGTTGAACATATTTGATTTAACTAGATTTTAATTTTTGTTTCGATAAGGCATTGTCCTACAGGTCATTCTCAATCTAATTACTTTATCTGTTAGAAGAAAATGATGACCGAATAAGTTTTTTTACTCAAGTTAAGAACAGTGAACTCTAGTATTTTGTTGTTAAACAGATTAAATCCCAAGATTGAGATCTGTTAACGTTATTCGATGAGAAAGTATTCAGTCTTTCTTTATTTCGTTTGTGTGTCGGCGTGGGGGTTTCGGATGCGGGTTGGGTGATGTCATGTTAAAAATCAACAATGTATTTGGTGATTTTCTTGACCAACGAAATAATTATATTTATTATGCACACTAGAACTATATTTTAACATGTTTTGTTTCTTCTTCCATCTATGTTGACCACGCAACATAAAAATACGAAAAGTATTTTTCATTCAAACTGTAGAATTTATTTCGTGTACTTTTTCGAAAAGATTTCATTTTTTATTAATTTTCTTCATTTGAAAAGATAAAGAAAAATTGAAAATGTAATGTAAATATGTGTATGCCAGCGAAAAGATTTACCAAACATTCTCTTATTCATAATATTTTTACCTCGTCGTCTTAATTTAGCAAGGGTCAGAGGTCATTTTATAACAGTCACGAGCTGTCTCACGCATCAGATACTTTTCATATCTTGTCATTTATGTGGCCCACTTTGCAGTTATGAGCAGCCTCTTAAAGTGGCGTAAAGCTGTTCTTAATAACAACAATTCATTTATTGTAGAAATTTAGAATGAAAGAATGTAAGTTGAACACGTTTTATACTTTATAAACCTATAAAAACAAGTTAACAAATTGGTTTTTTGTCGCAAAATGTTCGGAACATCAGTTAATATCCCATTTGAAAAGGGGAAGAATATAAAAGTTTAATTGAAACAAGAAACAATTCATTGTGGTGAAAAACGGAAAGGTGGAAAAATGCAAAGTGAAGTTTTGTCAATTTCCTGTCTCGATTTCGTGATTTGTTAAAATGTTTATATGCGTGACATCTGAAACATATATGCCCTCAAAATAACTCCGATTAATGTTTCACTTTATCTTCTCTCACTTAAGATTTGTTTTAGGAAAATGTTCCTTACGATTAAAGGATCATTATAATTATTGATTAAAGTAGCATGCCTCCAGATTCCGCCTATATGACTGAAATACTGTTGGGAAAAGGCGTAAAATGAAACAAACAAAACAGATTCATGCTTATTTTCATGAAAATTTATAATATGTATTTAAAAGTAAAATAGTGTGAAGTTAACAAAGCAATTTACTTACACATTGCAAACAGCACTTAAAATCAACGTAAATTATCAAAAAGCGGTATAAATAAGCAAAATCCACCCATACTGCGTTAGCCACACAGTAGAAATATGGTGATGAATACTGCAAAACAGCCCTTTATCGCACAAAACATGTAAATTGTTACTTGAGTCTTAAATCATTTTGATTTTCTTAAAATTTAGTACATATTACTCAAGTTTATTTTTCTTGAAATATTTTGGTAGTGAACAATATTTTGTGAAATTCTGTATCATCCTCTTAAAAGTTGAGTTGATCTGGATATTCTAATATTTTGTAGTGTGTGTAGATATCATACCAGTATATTCTAATAAACAATGATACTGATTATGATGTATAATATACAAAAGTCAAACCAATTCTAACTTAAGAAACATTGTGAAATGTTGCAGAGAGATGTTAAGACAAATTTTGTAATGTACGATTTGTAATGTATTCAGAAATAGACATTTAGGATATTCAGTTCGTTTACATTTTAGAAAATAGTTCATTTTTATTAATTTTCGTATTTGTAAAGATAAGACAAATTTGTGATAAAAACATATATATGCCAACAAAATGGACAAGATTTGTAATGTTCATGCTATCAGACTTAAGTTGTAATGTAAATTCACGTAGACTATATCTGTAATGTATACACTCACATACTAAATTCGTAATGTACAAACTCTAAAACAAGATTTTTAATGTACATACTGTCAGACCAAATTTGTTATGCACATACTCTCAGACTATATTTGTAATGTACATAATCTCAGACTACGTTTGTAATGGACAATGTCCCTTGGACTATATTTGCACTGTTCAAACCCTCATACCATATTTGTAATGTAAATACTCTCAGACAAGATTTGTAATGTACATACTATCTGAGTAAATTTATAATGTACACACTCTCAGACTAAATTTATAATGTACATGTTCTCAGACTAAATGTGTTATGTACATACTCTCAGACTATATTCATAATGTACATACCCTCAGACTATATTTGTAATGCGCAGACTAAATTTATAGTGTACATACTCTCAGACTAAATTCATAATGTACATACTCTCAGACATAAAAGTTATAGTGTACATACTTTAAGACTAAATTAATGGTTTACATGCTTTCAGACTAAATTTATAATGTACATACTCCGCTATTGATCCTGTTGCAGACATTGAAGCTGAAAACAAGTCTCTGATGAACTCATTGTTGCTGTTTAACAGACAAGACACGAGGTCCTGGTTGAGATTGTCACGATTACGCTCGAGAAAACCGTTCGCATCATAGGTTACCTGTAAAATATTAATGTTGCCGTGAATGTATAATTGATATACATGTAATTCAATCTTATTCATATTTACAATGAACTTATCAATTTAGATTGGTGAATAATCGGAATTACCGATTAAGCAAAATAGTTCATGAACTGAAATATGTAATCCGGCAATCGTTGTCAATTGTAAAATTATAAATGTTACTGTGAATGTATAATTAATATAATTCAATCTTATCTACATCTAGAGTTAGATTGGTGAATAATCAGAATTCCCTTTCAAACAAAATGGTACATGAACTGCAATACGTAAAACGGCAATCGTTGACAAAAATATGAACAATTTTATGCATTTCATTTCAGCAAACGTTTACAGCTGCATAGTTCAGAGCATATACCATCCAGGTGCTGGGTGTTTCTTTTCCTTTCAATTTTACTTTTTTAGTAAAATACCCTAATTTGTAATGCACCAGCTAGTGTATTAACTAAAAAATTAGTTTAAAAATTGCTAATTTGTTATTTGAAATCAGATTTGATTGACATGTGTATTTAATCATTGAACATTAAGGAATCAATTATTAAGACGTTATTGTCAACACAGATATTTCTTATAACAGTAATGTGCATACGATATGCACATATTAAACACTGTATTCTTTGATTAAGAATTAATCAATCTACTTATCGTTAATAATTAATTCATTTGATATATTTTATTACAAAAAAATCTCAAAACGTGCACCGCTTTTGTATTTCAAAGAAGTTTTATATCGAATGAAAGAAGATATAGATTTGGCTATACCTTGTTATAAGAGAATACTATAAACCTCATTCTTGAATAAATTTATAACTTTTGAAAAGAAAAAAAGACACCAGGTGGGATGTATTCAGTTTCTTTTTATATTTAACGCTTCTTTTTGTACCTTGTAAATAAAATTTTGAAACAACTAATACAATTACAAGCAAAGGTCAAAGAAATAAAATGAGCAAAACACTGAAATACAATTTAAGATGTCATTGGTCTGACCAAAAAACCTCTATTTAATGCGATAGCTATCGCCAGCTTCCTACAATGGTGTTTTTATTATAAATTAACATGTCGAGGGAACATTAAAATGAATTTAACTAATGACATGCCCGTCTAAATGTAGAGTTATCTTAGTATAATTCACGTGATAATCAAGTTTCGAGAGAACAGTTATACTTTATTAATACTTGTATACCGACACCATGGCTTCGACAGAATACATTATTGTTTGAAGTAATTGTCTGTCATTACTAATAACTGCTAACTTAATATGTTAATGTCATAAAAGAGCATTTACTCGACAAATGTTTTGTGACTTTTTTTACTTACTTTGACAAAAACAAATCGTGTGATAAAAGTGATGACAAAACTGGCATTGTTATTGGACACTAGTTTAATCTTGGACAGAACAATTCGCTTTCATTTGTTCACTTTCATTGATCATTTGAATTGATGGCATCATAATATAATTAGTTTCTGTGTTCATATTGAAGAAAAGAACATAAACAAAATATAATAGCCCAAAATTGACGCAAATTCCAAAGCATATTAAGTATTTGATTTACAAGTAGGAAGTACTATTAGTAAAGAGAAACTCCCAACATTAAAATAGATGTAACACACATTTACTTTATATATTTGATTAATAGAAGTGTACACATTTACGTATCTAAAGAAAGGAAAATTGTGTACCAAATCATGTTCGTAACAATGATAATTCAGATTTATATATAAATGTGGAAACATTTATAAGTTATTTACTTTATATTTCAATCTGCTGTCGCGTTGGAGTGTCATAATGCGTTAAATATTATAACACATTTCTATATTTAGGTACTGTCCAAAAATACATAAACAGTTTAGGCAGATGCCCTGTCATTAAGATTTCAATAGCCGTCATTTATTTATAAAAATGCAATAATTCTATCACCCCTAATGAAATTATAATAAAGACGGTGTTGACATAATAATATCTATGTTGTTGTATAAAGTAACGTGAGTTTCCTTTTCTTTTGTAAGTGTCGGTTTTATTGTATATGGCTTGCCTACGTTTGAATAAACATCTATTTATACGATATATCTAAATACCGAAACAAGATAGAAATATAAGAAAGAGTACTTGACAAAAAATGAAAATATTACACCTTTTAATAAAATATATAATCATGATTATGAATTGATATAAAATGTTCCGTTCATTCAGATAATATTATTTTCTTGCCTTACAAAAATGTTTTAAGACATGATGTTCATAAATAACACGAATGTGAATGAATAAGAGACCATGCAGCGTTTTGAGTTGGAACACAATCTTTAAAATGATATTGTTCCACGCTTTCTTCCAACGTATCTTGTTTTCATGTACCACGAACGTCATTCATATGTTTAGCGACAAAACAATCGGGCCTATCCAGCAAGAAAAATGCGAGGTCGGACCCGGCATTAAACATTAGAGTCAAGATATAGATATGTTAAATCCAGCGCTATACACAAAGGTTTAAGAAATGTTACATACATCTTCAGCGTAGTGTTTGATTCCGAAGGAAACTTTGTCTCCCATTTGTGGTATGAATCGTCTATTAGTTGAGCAATAATTCTTAAGTTTGTGCACCAAGGTATAGTCGCTGGACTGCGGGAACCGAGATTCTTCATCCAGGAGGGGCATTATTCCGTGTGGCTTCTAGAAATATAAAAAAATGAAATTTAACACACTTAATAATCCAGCATGTTCCGCGTCAGTGCGCTATGGTACATTTTTGTAATTGCTTATTAAAGGTTAACTTTATCAAATTGCGACATTTGACTACAAAATCTAATTTTAAATGTATTCTTTGTTTTTAACAACACGCGTATCATCTAATGTCATACATTAAACTCATTATTAGATTTACCAATGTACATATATAAGTAGTTTTTTGTCCAAAATATGATGTACTTTATCGAATGATATGCTGTGAATCAATTTTGTTTATACTTTGACTTCCATTCTTTATTCCCTATAACAATAACTTCATTTCATTGATATATAGTGTAAAACAATTTAAAATGTTGACCAACATTTTAATTAAGGGCAAGTGAACTTTAATTTATCTTTTATATTTGCATAACAAACTTTTATCTTTAATCGATTCAGTATTGAAAATTATCGTATATAATTATTTTTAAAGCGAGAATGCAACGGACCTGAAAGAGCAAATTTAGAACGTCTTCGTTGCTATGGTAAAGTATGTCCTTCCATGCAATTCCTTCCATTTCATAATCCCTCTGTTCTCGTGGAAATATATAATCCATGAAATACATCTGTAACTTTTCATTAGTTGCGTTGATAAGGAATTGGTCCAGTCCGTTGCTAGGGAAGTTCTCGAAGCCCGACATATCCAAGATGCCTATGGATGCCCCACGTGATACACTATAAAACCAAATATTTTACAAATCTATTATTTTAATATCTACCAAACCTGATATATATACAAATATAATATTTCTATTACTAATACTTAGTAATACTCAATACCGAAGCAAATCAAAGAGGACAAAATAAATTGATTATTACAAAAGGTAACAACTGTAATATTTGTTTCCTTCAGTAAAGTATAAATACTATCCCTGCATCTTTGAGCTATACTAGTATGTTTTATCCACACATACCTGACAACTTCTGCAAGTGATTTTTATATAAAAGTTCAAGGAAAAATGGCTTTTGATAATTTTCAAGAGCCAACGAGTGTCATAGATTTCGAGCTGGACTACTTTGGTTTTGTAATATAAAACGATACGAATACAGAACAATGGTGGTTGTGTTCAGTCGACAATTCATCTAATAAACATTTCAGCTCGGCACAAAATGGACATATTAACTGTTTTGAATTTATATATAAATACAGCATAACATTCAGACCTTTCATTTTCACAGCTCCATAGATTTCTGTTGACTTGACCAACAATCCAACCAAACAGTCTTGAGTATAAATCCTTAGCAAGCGCATCCCGGCAATCGTTTGCCTCGCGCAAGTTCTTCCAGGATTGTATCCTCTCCCCTACAATTACCAAACACTCCATTACAGCAACTTGTTATCATTTTATTTACGTTAAAAATAGATGTATTGATAACAATTTGGCTGATTTTTTATAAAAGCATTTATAATCGTTTATTTCTTTGATAGCATCGTAAAAAAAGTTATCACTAAACAAACAAAACGGATTTCGTATAAGTGAATTTTGAAATAGTTATGTGATGTATGTGCCCCTCACCGCCGACGGTTCGAGTCCCTCCAGGGATTTTGGATTCTTTATGTGAGGAAGCTATCCACGAGCTTACAGAACGTCGGTGGTTCTGCTCATCTGCTGTCATGGAAGGGCACATGGGGTCTTTATTTATCAGTAAAGCTGGAAAGTCGCAAAGATGACCTTTACTGTTCTGGTGCGATGTAAAACCCAACCAAGGAAAAGGGTGTTTGTTAAATTTTCAGTATTATTTTATTCATTACCTTTAATATGATTTATAGTTGATATTAATGCTTCTGTTAGCTGAACTTCATCGTCAATACCAAGTAGCTTAGCAACTGCATGCAAGGGGTATTCGTCGACAACAGTTACGCCATCTGTGTCTTCACATGGCACAAACACTATGTTTGCCAGATGCAAAATCGCCGCTAATATCAGGAATATCAGTGTGATGTGCTGAAATAATAAACATATAACAATATATTTTATGTAGTTTTGCTTATCTAAAAAAATAATTGTCTAAAAGTGTTTGAATGGCCAAGACGGGTGGATATTTTTAAGTAACATATGAAGTTATCAATTTATGTTATGTTTTATTACAAATAAAAGAAAGTCTGCAACATTCATAGAACAAAAAAACAGACTGTTTTTACCTCATCTGAGAATCCAACCTCTGTCATAATGTCTGTGAGGTTGTGAAACATACGTTTGTAAAACTGAAATTCCTCCGGATCACGGAATACACCAAGGCGAGGATCTGCGTCTCTCATTATTCTAAAGAAAACAATTTTTATGACAATTAAAATGTGAATAATGACAAATTATGCAGAGATGAAGAGAGGAAGGCAATAGTTTTATAAAAAAAAGTAGTTATTTATGATAAATACTGGTGTACATTTATGGGGACATGAACGTTGCAGGAAAATAATATTAAAAAAGTCAATATGCGCCCATTCTGGTTACATGCATGACATAAACCTACCTTTAAATGTATTTTACTATCCTTATAAAGAGATACATTGTAATACTGGTCATTATAAACGGAAAAGTGAAGCCAGCTTCATAAATTTTTGGACTGTGATATTAACATTTAATCGCCATTTCAAAAAAGACATTTTAATTGGATGACTGAAAAGTATAACAGATACGGACGGATATAATTCTTCTGGACGTGTCAACTTTCCGACGAAGTACACGTTCAACAAATTTGAAATAGGACGAAAATAAATCAAGTTTCGTCGACTTTTTACATAAATATTAAAGAAAATGCCATATAATTGTGTACATTGTGTTTGGGCATAGAATTTATCATTTTATGATTTTTCCAGTATTGTAATTTTTATATCAGAGTTCGTGCCATTGTGTCTTGCCTTAAATAATGAATCATTAATCCTTTGTTTTACGTAGGACTGATATTAATTGGTTTATGCAATCACATGACTATTCCTGGTTAAATCAATTGAGGCATTAATCAAACAAAACACCTGTCTCATCCCTTAAATCAATGCGAGAGTGCTAAAACATACATTGAACTTTTCATTCTATTATAGTAGCCAATCAAAACGCATTTTACATAACCATCAAGCTACGTTTTATACATTGCACTTAACGCATCTACATAATATTTTTATACATTTAGAAAAAATAAATTTGCATCAAATTTTCCAGTATGTTTCTATAGATGGGTTATGACAAACTATCCAGGTATGCATATCTATTACAACATCACGATTTCCTGGTTGTATATGTCCTGTATAAATTCATTCTCGCGTGAAGATTGAGTGGCATAAAACATTATTGTACTCCATATTTGAGAATTTTTATAATTCATATTTAAGCATGAATTGTAATGAACGACATGAATACAGGTGTTAGCAGCTTTTCTTTAGTTTCAAAAATTGATGTCTATATACACACACTGGTTAAAACTGTTTGCAAAAAGATTTAATCTTGTCTAAAATAATCTTTAACGTTAGGTATAACAAGCTCTGTTTGATGCAGTTTAAGAAGACTTCTAGAAGTGTTGTACATGTGTCAACTCGCGTGATTTACATGAAATTTGACAGTAGTTAGTTTGGTTGATATTTGATTTACCTGTGGCATTCTGGGTCTTCTAAAAAGTAATAGAGTAGTCTTTCTCGAGACATTCCTGCAAATAACGCGTAAAATACATGGAAATTCTTTTCTCCAGGACTCCGGTGAACAACGCGAGATTTCTCCAAAATGTAGTCGTCAATTTTCGCTGAAATAAGACAAATAATAAAGAATTCAAGTATTGTTAAACGTCAAACTTCTTAACATTAGTCGTTTTTTGTGGGTTTTGTTGTTGTTGTTGTTGTTGTTGTTGTTGTTGTTTTTGTGGGGGATATGGATGGCTTTTGCATATGATAATACAGATATCTTTACATATGAAAAAAGGAAATTGACTTTCCGATTGTTTGCATCAATCATTTTCATATTTCAACACTTCAAGCTTTGAAGAAAAATAAAGTCAATTTTATCTTGAATAATTCGCTCACATCTTAAAGCATGCATTTAATATTCTACACTTGTCTTATTGTAATAAATGATGTATTGGATAAAGACTAACTCGAAATTTAAGTACTGTACATGCAAAAACAGGTGTTATTACAGTAAAACAGGTGTAACATAAATATGTCAGCTGTACCTCCCATAAGAACATCATTCTCCGTGTAAGACAACTCTACAAACTTTCCGAACCTGCTAGAGTTACCGTTCATGACTGTTGCTGCATTACCAAAAGCCTCAAGAAGTGGATTGACCTGCAAAAATAATAATGTGATGATATAACACCTTGTAAAAATCCTAGACAAAAGATGAAACAATTGAATATTTTAAATCGATTCTGTGTAATAGCAAGATGACATTTTATTATTTAACATATTTGTTTGACTCTTACCTGTACAATCTTATCTAACAGTTTCGTGTCATCACTCGGACTTATGTGCATAAGATGTCTGATCATATATTTCGTACTCTCTGTCTTTCCTGCCCCCGACTCCCCGGACACCATGATGACCTGGTTCTTACCCGTCTCCCTGAGTTCTCTGAACGCATTGTCAGCAGCCCAGAACAGATGGGGAGGTCTTGTGTCCCGAAGTAATAAATGTTTGTAGTCATTGTGATACTGAAAACAGATGAAGCATGTATCTTTATTTCACAAAGCCAGCAGACCAGACTGTCCATAAGGCAACATATTTACAATATATACAAGTACATAGGTCACATCAATGGCCAACTATTAATATATAAAAATATAAAGATATCTTAGAAGAGCAAAAGATATAGGTAGAATGCCTCTTTCAAGAAACTTAATACTTACTTATTGAAGGACCTAACCCTTCCCCTGGTATGAAACCAAATTTTGAATAAAATAGAAAAAACGGATAAATTGAAGATTATATGAAAGATTGTATCATATACGCTTGACTATTGTATGCTAAAATTCCGGAAGTCCTAAATAGGTAATTATTACATATACAACCCCATGCTAACAAGTCAGTGCCTGAAGGTGGCAAATACAAGCTTGAATATCCCATATCCGTCAGACTATTGAAATATATTGTGCTGTCTTTTTTATATCTATATTGCTTATCTTACTTTGAAGCGTTAAACCAGTGGTCTATGTTAATTAGCTGCTTTTAATGTTACAATTATGTAAAATTAGAGCTTTTGAAGAACATGTATCTCGATTTAATGTTATATACACATGCCAAACGCTGAATCATTAGTATATTATTTAAACTGCTCTAAGAGAAAGTCGCCAAGTGACTGCTAGAAAATGCAAATGTCTTATATTAATATTAATATAAGTACAAATAAAAATAAATAATAGATTTTTTTTTTTTTTTTTTAATTATGATATTTTATAAGAGTTTAGATATACGGTGTATATAGTTTTATTAGAAATGATTTTTTTAAAGTAGTGACTACATTTATACATCTTTTATTCTAAATCTTATTTTAAAACTGTCTCTATGATAAGTAAAGTAACTGATTCACTTTTGAATAGATAGTAGGCGAAACATAAGAACATAAAATAAATGTAAATATCCGTGATAATATGTTTTAGCCATTTCTAGCCAAACTTGTTAAACAAGTTTCTTTTCTTCTTTCTAAAGTGCGTATCGTTCAAACATAGAAAATACAAACAATAGGTCAGTAGGTAAAGCTATGATAATGCGAGTGAATTCATTCACATAGAATGTTACACGCGCAAAATGACAACATTGTGTAATTTATGAGAGTGAACTGAGCTTTGTACAAACTTGAACATTTATAAAAGCTTTGATCAAAAATAACGAATTGTACTAATCAGTCAAGACGATTGATTGATTTTATCTCGCATCATGTATAAGAAATTCAAGTTATAAATCGAAGCTAATGAATGTTAAACAACAGTTGATTTTTTTCTCTTTAAATAATGAATTATAGTACATGTACAGCTTTCCACATGTTCATGTCATCTTAAATCTACGGTAATTTGAAATCTATATGAAATAAATGGTTTTGACGAATTTTTTAAACATTTATTTTTAGGAATTATTGTGAAACTGGAAAGAATGCAAATATTCTAACTTAATATGTATAAATCAAGTTTAAAGCATAACGTTTATTAAACTTGCATACAATTTATGAACTGTTTGATATAAATATAATTAAAGTTAAACACGGCCCTAACATATTTTAGTTAAGAGCAAATTAACAAAATATCTTGGGCAGCACTTGTAAAAATATAGGTTAGGTTGGTTTATTGTTTTAATTAACGATATTTTTGTAAAATATGACAGTTTCATATCAAAAGTATTGATCGGTTTATAAATAAATACAATGAACAATGACACAATATAGCCCCTTGTGTTACACCTTTTGACGTGATTATTACTTTACATAAACTGCATGGAAAAAACAAACCTGGTACAAATGAATCTATCGCTTGAGGTCATTTGTTGGTATTGTAATAAAGACAAGTGATTTGATGTCTTACGGGAACGTGTTTAATTACTAGATATGACAGTCTCTGTCATAAAGACATAAAAGGCAAAGACAAGAGGTTTTTTGACGAAGAAAAAGAAAAGGTAATACATGAGTGGCGAATCATACTACTACCACTGTTTAGGCCCTTACAGATCATAGGTGAGAAAATCAAGGTAAATATGGCTTGAATTACACAATAAACAATTGAATACGGTTGTAAAACAGCGTGTAAGAACCATGATTGCGTCTGCTAGGCTGCATGTAAGGACTGTGTAAAGTCAGATATTACAAGTTCACTATGACACACAGACTGTTACACATAAACAGCAGACAAACATCGTTTTGATACAAAAATGAACAAATTGAACGCATTCAAAACAAATTACATCAGCTTTAAACCACCAGGTGCAAGGTGGAAAAGCGACACTATTTTGAATCGTATTATTATTATTATCTGAAATATTCCTTAAATTTAGATACTCATGTTTGTCAGAAACCTTAAGTAAGAACAGAAGTCGCGCCTTTTATTTTCATCGGTGACACAATTATAGAAAACGTATGGTGTTTGACAACAATTTTATTACTTGTATCACTAAAAGTATATTTAAATCAGTTTTTAGAGCAAAAAAACCGATCTGTCTTAAAATGTGATACATTTTTTTTTACAATTTATCACCAATGCGACACAGATTGCTTTTATCAAAAGAGTCCGTATCAAAACGATAGTCATTAGCTTTGATACGGAAAAATATTGCCTACTTTTGAATAATATATACGAATTATCTGACATAATATAAGAGTGATATAACTAGTTATTGTCATTAACTGATTTTATTGCAAAAAACTAAAACAGTGACTTAAATGATATTTGTCATAAATGTAATTACTCAAATGTGTGAATTCCTAAACGTCTGACAAGACTAGTTCCCAATTTTTCTCTGCGCTATTTCTGTTAACATATTTATTTTATTAAACATTTTTTTCTTCGGGAAGTCTAATGTCAAAAATCATTTACTCATAAAATATACATAGTTTTCCACACTTTTAAGATTTTGATATTGTAGCTGAAAAAATATATTGTGTCAACTAAAAGTGTAAATTTATTTCGTACAATTGTACATTTTACTATGCCCGTTTATCTAGTTATATGTCTCTTGTTTGGAATATACAATGATAAACAATATCCTTTGCATGAGGTTGCCAGTAGGATTTCTATTAATGTATGTTTGAGAAAATTTTATCTAATACCATTTCTTGACATTCTCTTTGTAAACAAATTTATTTTCTCTTACCTGATTAAGCGTCATATTGTGTTTTGTGTCCGAATGACTACGTGACTTGATAATTGTTTTGTTTGTCTATTTGCATGGCGATGTACTATGTACAATTCTTAAATAAAATGTACGTTCTATTCTGTTCTGTTTGGTTACAAACTAATTTTTGGATTAGACAGCATATAAACAAAGCATTTTACTAAGCATATATGCGTTTATAAATTACGTATGTACCATACAGAACGAGGAAATATCAATATGTCGCGAATATTTTAACTTGAAACAATCAATTATGCTTACCTTAGTGCTATAAACCTGTATAGGCTTACATGGGTTCACTGCCACAAGGATATCTCCTATATATGTCTGTAATATAAAAGAAAATATACTATAAATAAACATAATCTTCTAATAAAACTGTATATCTCTAACTTCTTTTGCATTTCTGCGGGAGAAATGCGGGAGTGTTGAAAGCGTATAGCAACAAAATTTAGTTGCAAAAAATCAAAACGATCTGAAATTTAGCCTGTGAATATTAATATGTGTCCTACAGAAAATTATTTTACATACGAACATTGTTATATTGAAAAATGCATTTTATTTTGCAACTCAATTGTAGCAGTTTAAATCAAATGACATAAAGCTATGGTACTTTATTGTTAATTGTATGGGATGTATTTATTCATATTGTCATCATTATTTTGTTTTAATGTTGGATATGCTTAAGTCGGGCGAAACCCAAGGAACAGTTTCAATCAAACAGCTCCTACAACATTTTTTAATTTTCCAGTTGTAAGCGCTATCGTATGTTCGGTTGTTTGGTTTTTCTTCATATTCATCCCATAACATTTACCAAAGCGTTAAGTCTCCTAACCCATGTATTTGTCATAAGAGAATAAAATAATATCATAGTTAAAAATAGTAATAAATATGAATAAAAATGTAGGATTTTTTCATATGCGTGGGTATACTTTAAAATGTTGTAAAACATCAAAATGACATGTAATACATAATGATTGAATAACAAAACAATGATTGTTTAATGTTACGTGGTCAGAATGATTCACAACTTTAATAATAACTCTAATAAGTAACTTTTGTTTTTACACTATACCACACTTAAAGATCATTCGGATGTTTTTATATTTATAAAAGTACAGTGGTATTTATTTTTACGTTTATTTTTGTCTAATAATTGATGAGTAACACATGTTGATAAGAATTAAAAGCTGCTTTTTATTTTTCGTAATGGCAGCAAAGAACTGTAATAAATATATGTTCGGCAAGTGAAATGAGAACTGAAAATAATGTTGATTGCTATTTAGTATGATACACGTTCTAACATGCAAATAAACACATAGGACAGACCAAAGGTGCTAGTCACATTGATTTTACCTAAAATATGTTTTATCTTGTTGGTCATATATTATTTTAAAAAAAATAGTAAAAAATGGTTATAATGATTTTCGTTATAAACCTTCTTTTTAATGTTTGGATATAATATTACATGAATAACAAGATTAAACATATTTTAGGTCAAATCAATGCGGGACAGACATGATAAACTACAAAATTTTGAAACAATTTGTAAACAAGTTATAGGCAAACATATTTTAGGTCAAATCAATGCGGGACAGACATGATAAACAACAAAATTTTGAAACAATTTGTCAACAAGTTATAGGCATAAAATATTAAATACACACGAGTCATTTCAGAGGGCCATTAATTACATTCACTGTAAATGAGACGGTTACACTTATATGTACGGAATGCCGTTAGGGCCATTGCCTATGAATGTGTTGATCTGAAACGCGATAGTCGATAGTACGATGGTGAAAACGCGAAATCACGAAACTACGATGGTGAAAACGCGAAAGCACGATGATGAAAACGCGAAAGTACGATGATGAAAACGCGACAGTACGATACTACGATGATGAAAACTCGATAAACTATCGTGTTTTCACCATCGTACTGTCGCGTTTTCACCATCGTAGTTTCGTGATTTCGCGTTTTCATCATCGTACTGTCGTGTTTTCATCATCGTACTATCGCGTTTTCACCATCGTACTATCGCGTTTTCACCATCGTACTATCGCGTTTTCATCATCGTACTGTCGTGTTTTCATCATCGTAGTATCGCGTTTTCACCATCGTACTGTCGTGTTTTCATCATCGTACTATCGCGTTTTCATCATCGTACTATCGCGTTTTCATCATCGTACTATCGCGTTTTCACCATCGTAGTTTCGTGATTTCGTGTTTTCACCATCGTACTATCGACTATCGCGTTTCAGATTAACACATTCATAGGCGATGGCCCTAACGGCATTCCGGAATGCCGTTAGGGCCATAGCCTATGAATGGTTTGATCTGAAACGCGATACTCGACAGTGTGATGATGAAACTACGATGGTGAAAACGCGACAGTGCGATGGTGAAAACACGATAGTTTATCGCGTTTTCATCATCGTAGTATCGTACTGTCGCGTTTTCATCATCGTACTATCGCGTTTTCATCATCGTGCTTTCGAGTTTTCACCATCGTAGTTTCGTGGTTTCGCGTTTTCACCATCGTACTATCGACTATCGCGTTTTAGATCAACACATTCATAGGCGATGGCCCTAACGGCATTCCGTATATATGTTGTCAGTAAATGCAGAGTTTCAAAGTTTGACATTAAATACTTCAGCATTCACCATACATTGACCTAAATAAGCGAAACATTGTCAGCAAATATGAGATTAAATTTTGTCAGACTATTCAACTACCTTAATCATGAATGCTTATACATTTATCGACGATATAAGTCCGAATAAACAATGTCCGAATATGCAATCAGGATCTAATATATATAGTTCCAATATACAGGCATCGGCCATTGAGACTATGATATTAAATATTGCAATGATTTTATTCATCTTGAAGTGGTATGAAGATTGTGTAGATTAATGTATTTTATTGATAAAAATCCAAATATTCTACTTAGGGAACAGTATAATAGCATTGCATTGTTAGTTTTATTAGTTATTAAACTGGACGATATGCCATTTTCATAGAATGCGAGAATGTATAGTAAAGTCGTTGTCGTCACACAGTGTTGTCTATATACATATACTAAGTCATTATTCATGTTGATAAATAACATAGTTTGTCGGATGCTGACGTCCGCATCATGACCACCATTTATCTTGTTTGTGTATTACCCAGGTAGGTAGACAGGTCATTTTAAATGTATGGATATTTTTCGCCCGCTCTTTTACTTACTTTTTTCGCCGTTTATCCCGTTACGTCAACTTCTTAATGATGGAATGAAAGCTGATAAACATCCAGGTCAACAAAAAATGTTAAGCATCGCCTTATCAAGGTCAAACTTTCATTTATACATTAATTGGTTTGTAAGAGAGATGGTGAAATCGTTTGTATAAAATTGCAAATGGACAGAGTAACCATATAAAAAAAGAAGTGGTGCATTACTGAAGGTGGTTTGCCTTTGATATATGTTTCTATCTATGTATAAGTTAAGTTAATGGTAGAAGCATTAGCTTTGTCCATTACATATGTCATAGCATGTCCAATGCTTTTATAAATGACCTTTGGCTCCGTTGTAACAAATGGACTTTCTTAAACAAAAACCAAATATAGAAGTTTTCATTTTACTCTTCTCCATAGAAATTCATCTAAGAGAGACTATAAACAATATTAAATATGTCATTTGTAACATTAATTATATTTTATGAGAGCAAGGACTACACATTGACAGCAGAGTTCTTAAATTTTACAAACCAATGTTGCATGATATGTACTTAGACGAGTTTATAAAATGGAAAATGTAGGTTTAAATGTCAGCGTGAGGAAAATGGTTAAAATCTTAACGGCTCCATTTTTGCCTTGGGTTGCGATCACACTCTGTTGTTGAGTGACATTAAAGTATTATTAATGTTTTGCGTGATGGATGCCGCAAATAAAATTTCAAATTTTAATAAGGAAATAACAAGTGGAACTATGTGTTATCCAACGAGTCCGTGATGATTTACAATCACAAGTTGACACACATAAACGAGCATTTTACAAATATACAATTTATGCTTTTTATTTACACAAATATATAGTTCAAGTTGTTTCAGTTTGACTGTAACACCTCAACTGATCTGACTTTTGCCTGACTTGAACGGGCCAATGGTATAAATGTTGTTTTTAACTATGAGTAGATTTCGTTCAAAATATTTTAATATTCTATAAAGACACTTAAATTGTTTTAGATATATAAAGTACAGATATTACTTAGGTAACACCTAAACTAATAGACACATTATGCCTAAGAAACGAATTAATTTGTTTCCGCGTGGTTTATTCTGTTTTAGTAATGAATTTAGAACATGCTAAACACTTATCTTCTGGAGAAAGGAGCGCTGAATCGCATATGAAAAAAAATGTCACAAAAGTAGACACGTTACTTAACTTCCATTTAATGTTACTGTACCTAATGCATAAATGCAAAAGATGTTTCAACTACATATATGGTAAATGGGTAACTGTAGGACACCAAAAATTAGAAGGATTTTGGTGCAATAAAATTATATCATCCTTAATGAGCCTTGAGATCAAACAATTATAGAACTGCATACGTCATTCGGTCGCACTTATGATACTTATAATCATTTGTTATTTCTTACATTATCCTTTTTTATGAACTGGCAATGAAATAAAGTTCACACCTTTTGTAACCACAAAATAGTTTTTATTGTACGCAGTAAACAAAATAAAAATGTTGATTCGAAGAGACTTACTAACTTTAAAGGTTTCTAATGTGCCACAAATTATAATTATTATTTGAGGGTAAAACAATTTGATTAGTATTTACAAAATGCACTGACTTCATAAAGAAACTGTGTTAAGATGTCGCTAACCAATGGAATTCAAATATTGTTCTAAATAAGGGCATTACGTACCACTCAACATAGTCTGCAATTTTCAGTTTTTTGTGAAGTTAATGCTCCCGAGGGATTGCCCTTCTTTCAGATTTTTTTACAATAACGTTGTTACAAAAATCATATTGATATATATTTTAATCAGTTATTTATATATAGACTAACCTTCTACGAAATAAAGACTTTTCCTGTCTGAGACAATCTTATTAAACTGGCTATAGTATTCATATGTTCCAGTATAATATTTAATAAAGCCAACTTAAATATAAAGAAATCAAGTAACTCTTTAAATAACTTGTCGTTGATTTTGCAAAGTGGTATCTTACATCAGCCCGGATAGTAAATTAAATGCAAATTCATATATGAGGCAAGACACTATGTTTCTTCATATGGTATTAGTACAAGTTGGTCAAGAAATCAGACTTGACAGTGAGTTAAATGAGTCCAATAATCTCCAACTTTCATTATGTTTGAACTTGATATTATACTTAAATTATAGTCTTAAAATAATCACTCATTACAAAATTTAGTGGCAATAAAAGCAATGGTCCCTGGATAACCAATCCTGGAAGTGTGATTTAATTAGTAGAATAGCAGTGATCACAAAGAAAATCGTTCATCTGAATTATATACAACCAAAAACAAGGTTGTTTCACATATCATAGTTACAATAATAAACATCTTAATATGAAGAAATCCAACACTTTAATGATGAGTGAATAAAGTTAAACATCGTAAAACAAACTTCTTACAATACGTTACTTAAGTATAGATATTCTCTGTATATCTTTATCAAATTACTGAATTGAGTACAATACTCTTATTCCTGTTTTGAAAAAGTTTATTCTTTTCATTTTTATGGATGATTTTTTTTTTGGCCATAAATATTAATTTTAAAACAAAAGCTATTTGTTCATTGACTGTAAATTTGAACTGGATAAGGTAATAAACATTGTTTTAATAAATGTTTGTCTATAATTTCTTAATTTATATCTTGCAATCTTCGTAGGGTAACATGTGAAATGATTTAACATAAAAATGAAAATAAATCATTTTATAATAAGTAAGGCTAAATCATTTTGTGTAAATTTGATGCACGCTGATAGCTACCCGTGTCTACATTTACCAGTTAATTCGGGTGTTAAGATATAAAGTAAAATAATTAATAAGTATTTAACTACTTTTTGCAAAAATATTAGAGCAATAAAACACGTAAGGTGTTAATACAATTTTCATTGACATTATGAGATAACGAAGTTAAAACAATCACGTGCCTTTCCGTTCAAAAACGTCTTGGAGTTAATATGAAAATAATGTGCGGATGACTTTGCAAAAGTAATCCGACCCAGATGCCGATTTCCTTGATGACATCTGTGATAAAGGGGTGACTGTTCTGTTTCAAAGATAGTGTTAAAATGGTAACCCGTTTGTAATTAATTAATGTCTTAAGAAAGTTAGTTGGTAAATCCCTGTTATACTGTTAAAATGTCGATACAACTTACTTTTATAGCCTTTCAAAAAAAGTTTGAAATCATTTTAAAAATTTAGCTTTGAAACGTAATTCCAATTGCCGACAGTGTATGACTAAAATGTCATGTTACAAACGAACGATAAATATAAAAGACATATATTTAAAGTTGCTAACATAAAATAAGATTTCTCTGTAACGTTGGAGATGAGGTTGCTGATTTTAAATCGCTTCAGCCGTTTGAATCCCAGTAGAGACTTGCATTGATTACCAATATGATGGCTATTCGGGTGTGCGCAGCGAAGATGATGCCACGGGGCTGTACGAGCACCCATCCTATATGACGCTAATTGCAATCAGTCTGAAGTCAAGATCTTACAAGCTTTACTGCCACACTTATACATGTAACCCTAGCCAATGTCGACATATTTTACATGTAAATGATCGCCAAACTATTACAACTCTTTGACAAATGAATAATTAGGCAGTGATATATGTCTTTTGTGGTACGATGCAATATTCCTAAAAAATGTGTTTATTTAAACAGTATTGAATTTATTTATTAAATAACACTGAGAAACTGTGATTGATTAACACACGAAGACGGTGGCTCTATTCAGGTGTTGGCCGCAAAATAATGCACGGGGTTGTACCGAGCACCCATTCTCTATAGTGAACGCCGGAAAGTTGCAAAGTAGTCTTGAAAAGATCGAAGATCTTGACAAGTCTTAACTGCCCACACTTATATATGTAACACCCTAGCCAATTTCGTCATATTTTACATGATAAATGATATTTTAACACAGATTCGCCAAAGACTCATCACAAACTTCTTTGGCAAATTCACATAAAAAAGCGGGTAATATTATTGTCCTTCTTGTTTGGATACAATGCACACGTATTCTTAAAAAAGGTGTGTTTAATTTAAAACAAGTATTAATTTTAGTTTATATAAATAACAAATTACATTGTTGATATAATAATTGACGGAATCTATTACAATAGATTATAAGTTAATAAAGTACGATACAAGAAATGTTACGCTTTGTTTAACTAGGATAATTATGTATATACTAATTCGCACTAAATTATTCATTGATGCACGCGACGTTTTTATTTATGTCAAGTACGTTACGTAATGTAACGTTACGGATGTATTTATATGATACGTATGAATTTTATCTTACAAAGACAGAATGTTGTCAACTATAGGATGGGGTCTTACTGTTTTTTAAACATGTCACATCTTAAACTTATACATTTTTACTCGTGTATACCCAGCTACAATTTTGGCCGGAGATCAATAAAAAATGTTTGATAACATATTTGTTTCCGAACACCTTTTTAATATTTCTTATTAGACTGAGGGATTTGTCTTTATGCTGAATACGAATTATTTGCATCTTACAATCAATCGAACTATACTACTTCACGAGAAAAAGTCTTCATAATTTCTCGTATTGTATAGTAACTGATAATAACGATTTAACTCGTACAATACGTCACTTACGATGAGTGAATGAGAAATTATAACTTTGATATAACATGATATTCCAATGATGTTAGTCTTAATTTTTCATAACATATTTTACATAGAAATAGAAATGGAAGACCAAGGAAAGAATGGCAGTATTTTTAAATGTCAAAACAGGAAAAACACGCTCTGTTGGCTTGTAACAGGCAATGCTTTTTTTATAAATCAGACATTGAAATAAAATATATTTCTAATCAAACCAAAAAGTTTTTGTTCACAAAATTGACAAAAATCTTATCAGTAGATTTTATAATTGTTGAGCATTTAAGATGAATGTTTGTTGATGATACATTTTAATACAAATATTGAATATAATAATCCCGGCATCTATTTCCGCAAATGATTATAAAATACTTGCATATTTATTTACCCTATATATAATGTAAAGATGTTTTAATGTGTATTAGATTGAATGGGTTGATCCACTTAAGTGGGCTTTTATGGTATTTTATGCTTTTGATAAGATAAATCGTATGCTTGTTATTGTCTTTTGTTGAAAGTACCGTATAAGACGCGTAATAACGAGGTCTAAATTAAAACATTTTAATCACTTTTATCTATATGTTTAATTGCTTAAGATATTTAAGTATTAAATTCAATGATGCGTATGCGATATAGAGTGTTTGCCATCATATTATGTTACTTTTTAAATATAAACGAATACATGGAAAAATGAAAAGAGTTTTTTCCATCATATAACGTTACTTTTTAAATATAAAAGAATACATGTAAAAAATGAATAAGGACAAATAATGATATCACGTTGTTAATTAAACGAGAAGAAATACTTACATAGAATTTTTCCTGCATGAAACGGCCCCGGAGGGCATGTACGATAGTGTTCTCATCGAGAACTTCTAGAGTGCTCAAGTCATCCGGCTGGTTTGAACCTGCAGCCATCGATAATCAGGAGGCCTCACTCCTTTCGCAGGGTCAAAATGACACTAAATAGCTAAATATAAAGAACTGTATTCACAAATATCCAAATAAATCCATTTTTATCACTCTCTGTTGTTAACAATGACCATTTGACATGTCATTTGTTCTGTTTCTTTGAACAAAATGATTTTCGTCTCTTCTCCGCTAATTAAAATGATGTTACTTTAATTTAATTACAAAATAATATATCTTTAATGATAAAACTATATCCTTAATTCTGATGTGTTTTTATTTTTGTTTTATTTAATCGTTTGTTTTGTAAGTTTAACTTTAAGCTTAAACGTGCCAAAATAAATGTCCGAAAATTATTCACTTCTTGTTTTGTCTTAAGTTATTATGATTATGCGAAATAAGTTAAGAAATACAGTCGTAAAGATGTCGTCTGCCTACATTGTTAACGCTTCGTTCATCCATCAAACCGCCAGGCCCATTTGACATTTCTCTATCGTCTATTCTGATTGGTTCATTCACGTCACATGATTTATCGACGACGTTTATCTATATTTAGCTACATCTCTTTTTAATTCTTCAGTCATTAAAATACATTTTGTAAAAAACATCCGTAAATTGATTAAAAATGCTCGTATAAAACATGTTAAATGCACAATTAGTAGTGCAAATAATTCATTTAAACAACAAACACAATATTCATTTGATGCCCTACGGGCATTATTTTATTCAGTTGACAATTGAGATGTATTTCTTTGGAGAAAATAATAAACAATACCCCACCAACCAACTTTAATTGTTTAACATAATCTACATTCTTTTTGCTCTGAAAAGAAATATAAATTTTATATTTATTTCTTCGTTCCTGATTTATTTTATTTACTGTATGAAAAATTTCAATAAAAAACACAAATAAATATAATTAGTTAAAAGCAAATTAGAAATTTTTTAATGTGCCAAGAAGTTGTTCAAAGAAAGTGTAAATTAAATGTTTATTTAACAATGTTAAACATCGCTTTTTCCCAAAGTATTCAAATTTAGTCGCTAAACAGTGATATAGTAATGCTGGATTAAAAGTGAAATAGTAAAAAATATATGTTTAATGAAATAAGAAGAAATTGATATGTACATGCAGTCTTTGAAGCGCAATTATACATGTAATGTCATCTTAAATTAAAACTTATTTTCTGAGGTTTTAAGTACATGTTGTTCATGTTATGAAACTATCCAGTCAGTGGAATGCTGACACATCTTCAGAATGACATGTATAATTATGATTCATTGGGATACCTTAAATCTCCTACAACCGTTGTAAATGCTAGAAGGTCGCTATATGACGTTATAATCCGATTGTAAAACCACCGGATAAGGAAATAATGACGCCTTGGTTAAGATTATGTATTTTATTTAAGTAAACCTCAGGATATTACAGACATTGTAACTGATGACCACTCATACAATGAAAAAGTCAGTGTTTCATTTTATACTGTATAGGAAATGTTTATCATTGGTTAAATGTTGATGTCATAATCTAGAGACAATAACAAGGTAATTGTGACTTCTTCATCAACATGACAGCACATCATTTTATATTTGACTAGGTAAAAGTAATAATAGTGTTTATTCAATGTCAAATATGCACAAAATATATACGAACTAAACATAGTTTTGAGGACTGACAATTGATTGGTCCATTGCCTATGTTATGTTGAATATATATTTTAAGCCATTGAAAATATAATGGAACTTTTCGTATTGTGTTCCTTTAACAGATATGATAGATAATGAGACATGTATACAGCAAAAACAGTGTGCGAACGTCATATAGAATCATATTTGACAACAAGGTCTGTCACGACACATGTGCACGTATTTAAAAGGTCATTCTGTAACATAATCATGTCAAAACGCTTGGTCTGTTACAAAACTTATGTTTGCCTTGAATTATAAACATACATGTACCACTTTCTGCATTCGTGTAAAAGAATTGTTTTAGAATTAGACCTCTATATTACTCGATTGATTTTAGTTATTTCATAAAAATGTAGCTCAACAAAAATATTGGGTTGTTCTTGACTGACTTTATGTGTAAGAAAACATGGTTCTATACTGGTTGGATAGGTACGCTATGTGTTCGATGCTAGCGTTTAAAAAACTCAAATGTCCTGGGAATAATTTTTCGCATTGTGCGCAGTGCACTATTTTCTTACGCCTGGCACAAATACGGGGAGCTGTGACTAAAAAAAATATATCCAAGTGATTGCGGGTTCGGGTCCTGCTATTTCCTCTAAAACACCAATACTGGTTAGGTCCAGAGGCAGACTTGATAGTGGTAAAAACATGTTTTTGATTCTGATGAGTTTTGTTATTGAAATTGTATTCCCATCTCCCCAACCCCAACTATATGAGTGTTACTTATATTATTGTTTTCTATTATTTACTTCTGATCTTTCTGTAAACACCAACATGACGGAAACAATAGTTTTTCTTTCCTCTAAGAACTGATATGTTGATGAACAGTGAATACGTATAAATCCAGCACACAGTCAAATTGTAACGACTTGAACAACACTTAGGACAATCGATCCGGATATATGTATTTCATCCTTGAAAATGACTGTATTTGAACAGATAAATGTATTTAAAGTATGATAAACATTCATGTTGTACTGCTGGCGTATGAGAATGCATAACAACATAATTACTTTAATGCAAATTAATTAGACATAATGCATACTTGGAATTATTACTCTGATACTAGTAGTATATCAATTGGAGGAGGAAAACATTCTTTCTATACATTTATTATAATGTATCTACATATTGTGTCAGATCTTACATCTCTATAAATAAATCGTCACTTCTGTAATAGATTGGTGACCATGTGATATTATTTTTTATGATAATTATGAAATGGTAAATATATTGTTGAGATATTCCTTCTGCTGGAGTACATACAGTTGTACATAAGCAGTATTGTAATATCTAGAAACTTATATTAATATATATATACATGTAATTATATTATTATACCTAGGCCAAATGTAAATTTCTGTATGATTTATGGTATATTTTATACAGTTATTACATAGTACAAGAGATAAAGACCGGAATAGAATTTTAATGGGTGCCCGCTAATACGGGTTTTATTGAGAAGTGCTAAATTTTGTCACGAGTATAGTGACTTTGTTTATAATTTAACATATATTCCACATTGATGAATACTTTTGCATTTCAATTTGTATATTTCGCAGGAAAGTGTTATGCCAGTTATTTTTGTCTCTCCTCATGACAAAGGTTGTGCGAGAACGGGCTCTGACAGCATCTTTGTATGCTTTACCATGACAAAGGCAATACCCTGTCAAGTATGATACTGCACGTTTGCAACGTCGCTTTTCATTGGCTAATAGTTACGTTAATATTATTAGTTATAAAGATCGTTTACAGGTTATATGGCCCTATATAAACGGCTATTTGTAAATATTACCCGGGCCGTTAGACGAGGGTTATATTGCAAACAGCCGTTTATATACGGCCATATAACCTGTAAACGATCTTTATAACAAATTTATAATACAGCAAACATCATTTTTAGAGAAAAAGTAAGATTTCTTCATGAATCGACAGAAGACGTGTATATAAAACTTTATAATACTGCACGTTTGTAACGTCGCTTTTCATTGGATAATCGTGACGTTTATATAGTTTTATATACACGGCTGCTGTCGATTCATGAAAAAATCTTACTTTTTTTCTATAAAAATGATGCTTGCTGTATTATAAATTCGTTATAAAGATTGTTGACAGGTTATATGGCCGTATATAAACGGCTGTTTGCAATATAACCCTCGCCTAACGGCTCGGGTTATATTTACAAATAGCCGTTTATATAGGGCCATATAACCTGTCAACGTTCTTTATAACTAATAATATACACGGCTGCTGTCATTGATGAAGAAATCACAAAAAAAGAAGCTTGCTGTATTATAAATTCGTTATAAATATTTCTGACAGGTTATAAAGCCGTATATAAACCTAGCGGTTTGGGTTATATTTCGAAATAACCTTTTATATAGGGTCATATAACTTGTCAAAAAGTCTTTATTATTAATTATCTAACTGGTAACCAGCAGATAATATGTATTATACCTCACTGTTAGAATTCATTGGTGAAATGTTAACAAAAAAGAAAGATGCTTTGACTTTTCTATCATTATCATTTATAACATGATTTAAACATTTAAAAAATGACATTTGATAAACTATGTTTGATTTTCGAGCACTGAATAGAGACATAATGTCGTAGTGTGAGGGCGTTTCTTCCAAAAATTGTTATATCAACAATTGTTTGCAGCTGGTGTTCCTTTTAAAATTAGATAAATAATAATCGTTACACTATTTTTGTATAATAATTAATCAAAATTTGACATAAAATATAAATTTTATAAAATTTGACAGGCGTTAATAATTTATTATCGATTATATTTATTTATTTTACAAACGTTGCTGTAAAAGTTAACAAAACGCGTTCTAGCGTAACGTAAGTCTTTTTCATGTTTACGTCATTTACGTTTACACCGTTACGCCTTTCTCATATTTACATTTTAAACGGCGGTTTATTGCTTTCTGACACGCTCCTTCAAATAGTTTAGCAAAATAAGTTATCGAATCCGGACATCCGTACGTAACTTATGACACAACGTTACGTTCAAATAGTTAAGTAGTGAATTCACGTCCGAATGACTTTTGTTGAACAAAATGACCGCAGTCTATTTATAGATACCCTTTGCATTTACCCTTTTTACTATTTAACCTTAAATATGAAAGTACATGTTCAACTTGTTTTTAAAAATAGATTTCGTAAAATTTCAACAGTGATGAGAATTCATGTTTATTTAACTTCCCTGTCCAGAGAAAAAGAAATAAACTACTAGTCCTTTATAAGTATAAAAGTAGACCACGATGAAATTTAAGATTTTAAACTTGATAAACTTAGAGTCAAATTGCAACATAACGCTCATTACTGCGATTACGTCGTCCATTCCGCGCTTTTTACATTTGAACAAATCTGTGTTTCTTAAGAAAAGAGTAACATAATCTTTATTACTTTTAAATGAAGGTTGTTGAACATGTTAGATGCTTATCACCCAAAATAGTAGCACTGAATGTGTAATTAATTGTCATAAAGTTAGCAATATGTTAAATTAACATACAAAATACTATTCACTATTGTTCATGAAATTGTCCATTAATTTAAAATTACTTTTAGGATACTATACCAAGACACACAAAAACAAAAGAATATTTTTTTTAAGAAATAAAAATATGAGTAAAAGCATTTTAGGGCATACGTGTAATGGACGTGTAACACTGAGTCATAAGCTGTGATTTTAAAAGATTTTTTCCGTATGTACCCTTTTCCTTGTAAAACAAAAACGTTTAAAATCCCTTTTT